TGAGATTCTTGATCTCGCTATGGGCTTCCATACCTGGGTCCATTGGTTCAAACCGCTGGCTAAATTCCTTCAAGAACGTATCCCAATTTCCGCCGAAAGGGGGATTTTCTGCACTGAAATGTAGCAGATGGGGAGTGGCCCAATCTCCGGCACTTTCTGTGAAGAAGCCCAAGGCGGACTTGATAAGTTTCACTTGGCTTTTGGCGAGATCAGGTTGTTCTGACGCCCAATTTTGGAACTGAGCCATGAAGCGACGAGCTTCAGCACCATCTTTACCCTTGAAAACCTCGGGTTTGTTCATGCTTGACTTGGAGGATGAGTGTTCCTCCATAGCTGTAGCAAGGTTAGCTACTTGTCTGATGAGCTGAGCCATGAGATCCTCAGCAGAGGTATTTGGGGCAGGCGGGACAGGAGTCGACATGATGGGAGTAGGCAATCGGGGTTGGGGAATTGGCAGGAAGGTTATATTGCTCACAATGAGTGGCTCTCGGATTGAGTTGGGAAGGGCGTTGGGGCAAGGTTGAGACTGGCAATCGCACCAAGTATCGTCGTTGTTATGGGCGTGAGCTTGGTCTCTGGGGTCAAGTGCGTGCGGGAGTGCGGAGCAGTCTATACTGGCAGCAGGTGTTTCAGAGTCGGGCGGGACTGGGGAAGACGTGGTGTCTATAGATCCTGCAAGGACAACCTTATCGGTAGGCTGTCAGTGCAGTAATGGATCTTGACCTAATGTCACGAAGCGGCAGAGGCGGAGTGACTATCGGAGCAGGAAGCGGGGTGACTAAGCTAGGCAGTGAGGCGGAGCGACTAAGCAGGTCAGTGAGGCGGAGTGACTAAGCGGAGCGGAGGCGAACTGGTCCCAGATAATGACAGAGAGGTCAAGATTAGGGACCAGGCTGTGGAGGGTTGGCTATATATACATAATCCGGTCTGCGAGAAACAACGATGTAATACTGTACAGTTTAGGAACAAGGAAGGTGGCGGAAGCCAGTAGAAGGAGAAGATGGGTCAGGTGGATCAGTAATCGATGGGGGTTTGACAGTGATGGGATGATGTATCATACAAGTAAAGGCATCGAGACGGTGAGAAAAGGAAAATGATAGGGGCTGCATACTTTATGACACCCACCAAAAGGGAACCGGATGGCGATATTCGCCATATTGGTAACGGGTTTAGAAGATAATGAACCATCAAAAAGATGAAGATTAACAGGAGAGATCTTGGTAGTTGGAATAGAATTTTGTGAAATGTAACGAGTATCAATAAAAGAGTCAGTAGAACCAGAATCAACAAGAGTAGGAAATTTGAGGAGAGCAGAGATAGGTTCGGCCAGCGCGGCCAAATTGGATAATGGAAATTCAGTAGTTAAAAATATTACAAGAGATTGTTCAATAGAAAAAAGAGCAGATGCATTGAGATATAACTCCCCAGGTGAGGTACGAACCTGATCAATGCAGCTCCCGTTTCGTACCAGGGAACAAGAGCTGCGGATTAGTTTTCCAATTCCTCTTCCACAACAATTGGCATTGTGTCGGGGGTTTCTTCAACTTCAGCAGCACAGCCCTTCGACTCTTGGGCCTTTTGCTTATTGCAGTCAGCAATCTGATGCTTACCACCGCAGAAGAGACAAAGATTGTTCTTCATCCTTCTTTCCCTCTCAGAGGGAAGGACTTTCCCATCTGCACTGAGATGATTGAACGCGGGGCATTGACCACCGGTTTGGCCAGAATTTGAAGAGTTCTGAGGTTTACCAGAATTGTTTGGTTTACCTCCGTTGAAAGGTTTAGGCTTCAGCATGAATGGTGCTGAAGAGCCTGATGGCTGAGAGTTGTTCTGCTGGTTAGTAGAACCAGCTTTGAAGTCCAAGGAACCCTTCTTCGGGTTCCGAGCAATAAAAGGCTTACCAGCCTCACGCTTCTTAGTTTCTTCGCGCTTCCAATAACAGTTGTCAATGCGAAGAACTTCTTGACAATAGTCGGCAAGCGTTGCTGGCTCAGGCAAAAGCGCCATTTCATCCTTGATGCATTCTGCCAAACCTTGTCCATAAACCCATTTCAGGGCAGCAGAATCCCAGTTGGTACTAGCAGCCAGGGTGTTGAACCAGATGTTTTTGGTTTTCTTCATCTTCAGGTTACCGAGAGAATCTTCAGCCTCACCTTGTGCGTCGTAAATGCTGAAATTGTCCTGAAGCTCTTTTACAAGGGCTTTGAATGAAGAGGTCCAGATGGGCAGAGAGTCAAGATCTGGATCCAGGATATTGGGGACAAACCATTCTTTGGCTGAGCCACTGAGGTAGGATAGGGTATAGTTCACCTTCCGCTGGTCGGTGAAATACTTTGGACGGTCATTGAAGACCAGGGCGAGATCTTCTTGCTCCTGCACTGTTCACAGGGAGCACGCTGATCTTCCCCGTCATTGTCGTCATCATCATCGCCGTCATCTGGGTCCCCGCCGACTGGCTAAAGAATTTTTGCAAGTCAGTAATAGTGGGGTATTCAGCCTGTGCGTTCCCTTTCCCTTTGTTCTTCGTCGCCCTCTGAATCTCCACAACAGGCCTCCTTGGAGAAGCAGACATCTTGCTGGGAGAAGTCCCCCTCTGACTTCTGGCAGTCGCTGCATTGGCCAACAGCCTCCTCCTCTTGTTGTCGAGCCTGGATGGTCCACTCCCATGCCTCTCGCGCCGCCTTCTGTCAAGTCCATGCCTCGGGCCTCCATTCTGCTGCTTGGTACTCCAAAGATCCACTCCTTATTGTAATCTCTTCTTATTGTTCTTTCTCGCTACACATACCCTTTCGTTCTAGTCTCTCCTTATTGTCTTTTACTCTACCCTGCAGGTACTACTTGTATAGCTCCTAGTAGTTAGTCTGGCGCTCTGCACCGCTGCGCCGTTCCGTAGATATAAATACTGCCTGTACGCTACTGTAGTTCCTCAGTTTAATTATCAACTTGGATCTCCCTTCTCAACTTGGCTCTTCTCTAAGTCTTCAGGCTCAACGCCTTGAAGTACGTTCTACTCGACCTTAGGACTTGAACGTCCTCTGGTCCGCTCCTCGTCATTGGCGATACCGCCGCTCCGACTTGGCTGCTACTTAGCTCCTTTCTCTATACTCTCGATCTCCGGGGACTAACGGCGTAACGGCGGTGTTGTTAATAACTTCACTACTGTCCCACTCGTCTTCCGCACTTAGACACCTTGGGGCCCTGGCACGGTTTCACGGTGTACATAATCTTAACACCTTCTCCCTAGCCTCTGCCGCCTTCCTCTCTCTCACCTTCTTAACTTGTTCCTGCGCCCTCCTGATGATGTCGTCTTCATCCTTGTCCTCCAGACCTTCCTCCTCCTCGTGGACGGCGGGATCAGTGGATCGCAGTGGTGTGGGACGCGACCTCGAAGGGCTGGTGGTGGTGGTATGACTACCTGACATTTTTGGACTTTGAAGATTTTGGAAAAGTTAGGCCCATAGCAGCAAAACTCTGGCCCTTTTATAGGGGAAAACAGTGCATGGACCAGCTAAAATTTTCCTTTGAATTGTGTTTGGTTTACAGTGACAGAAAATTTTTCCTTGACTTATAATTATTCATGGGATCAATTTCGGTCTTTTCTGTCTTACAGTCTTATCAGCTTTCGAGGGCTCAAGCCTAAGAGGGGGATACTGTCAAGTCCATGCCTCGGTGCCCCATTCCGCTGCTCGGTATTCCGAGATCTACTGTTTATTGTAATCTCATTCCTATTGTTCTTTCTCGCTACACATACCCTTTCATTCTAGTCTCTCCTTATTGTCTTTTTCTCTACCCTGCAGGTACTACACATATAGCTCCTAGTAGTTAGTCTGGCGCTCCACACCAATGCGCCAATCTGTAGATATAAATACTGCCTGTACAATACTGTAGTTCCTCAGTTTAATTATCAACTTAGATTATCCTCTTAACCTCCTTGACTTGAGACTCCCTCTGTGCTCTCATCACTCTCTAGTCTTCAGGCTCGTTGCCTTGAAGTACTTCTTCCTCTGACCTTAGGACTTATAAGTTCTTTGGTTTGCTCCTCGTCGTCGGCGATACCGCTGCCCCAACTTGGCTGCTTCTGGCTCTCTTCTTCTTTGCTCTTGAACTCCAGGGACTAGCGGCGTAACGGCGGTGTTGTTCATAACTTCACCACTGTCCCATTCAACCCTCTGCCCTTAGACACCTTGTGGCCTCTGGCACAGTTACATGGTGTACATGATCTTAACAGGGAGAGTGTAAAGAAGCACAATGTTGAGGTTGTTTTCCAGTATGACAGGCTATAGCTTGGAGGATTGGAGGTTCAATTTGAGTAATGGAGCAGCCCTGAGTTGGGGCAACCACAGGGGGTTATCCACGACGAGGGGTCAGAACTTGAACAGGTTGTCCATCACCTGTGTCAAGAGTACTGTACTCAAATTGTTGATCTTGTTCCATAGCTTAAGGAAGAGTCAACATAGTAGAAACTGTAGCCGGACTGAAACTGCAATTACAGCAACATGGTTGACCAATAGCAGAAATAGATTCGGAGAAAGGGGCAAATGATTGGGCTGTAGTGAAGAAGGTGTTTTCTTCAGAGTTAGCTCTAGATTGAGCTCGAGTTCTCGGAGGCATAAAAAATAATATGTCAGTACAATGTTAACAGATTGAGTTTAATTATACTGTTAAGATCATGTACACCGGAAAGCTGTGCCAAGGGCTGTTCAGTGTCTAAGGGTGGAAGGTTGAATGGGACAGTGGTGAAGTTATTAACAACACCGCCATTATGCTGCTAGTCCCTGGAGATTGAGAGTAGAAGAGAGGTAGGACAGTGTGATTCTGATAAAGTTAAAGCAAGGGGGGGTGTGTTGTGGCATATTTGCAATATGGAACCAAACCTGCATCAATTAAGGTGACCCAGCACTACTCACAGTACCCTACAACTTACTAGTGGAAAAACTTAGTTCAGAATCTAAACAGATATGTACTATGTATACAAATTATAATGGGGACTTATGTTGCATGATCCCTTAGCTCAGCGGTAGAGCGTGAGATTCCAGTCCTCAAGGTCGTCCGTTCAATCCGGGCAGGGATCAAAAGGATCCCTTATCTCATTTTTGATACTGAGTACATACTGTATAGTAAGGCAAATAAACCAGTGACACGAAAACACTCTCAGTTATACCGCCTTGTTACGGTCGAGGGTAAACTGGAAACCCTCTATCTATGAGGGACGAAACCGTCGGGCAGGCAAAGAGCGCTCAACGGTCACTTTTGGTGAGCCGTTCACCCCAGGTTTATCCAGGTTCAGCCGTTGGTGTAGATTAGACAATTCCGCGTTCTTCTCTGAGAGGTTTTTTTGTGCTTCCCCCTTGGCTTTTCGCTCTTCGAGTAGGTTTTTTTCTACAACAGCTAAACGAGATTGCAGGTAAGGAAGCCCCAAGTGTCGGACGCGACAATCTTCCAATTCACGTTCCAGATTAGCCTTCTCGGAGCTGAGGGTATTAACCTTCACATCACTTGCTTCTGCCCGTCTACTCAGCTCGTTACGCTCAGTCTGAATGGTGTCAATCCTTGCCTGCATCACCCTCTTCCACGTTTCAACTTCCCGGTTCTTGGATTTGAGAAGGTCATCCTTCTCTGATCGCAGAATTTCAATTTTTTCCTCTGCTTCTCTTGTGTTATGGAGAGTCTCTGTCTGGGCTTTCTCTAATTGTTGCTTTGATAACGCGACATTGAGTTTCAGAGTATCTCGTTCCTTCTGTAGGATGCTAATTTCCTCCGCGAATGATTTACGAGAGGTTTCTAGACTTCGTTGCACGACAATGTACTGTTTTTCGTTGTCGTGCACAGTGGCCTCAAGAATAGAAATCGTTCCTTTCAGCTTTTGGCATTCAGCTTGAGTCGAGTCCTTGGCATGCTCAAAAACACGAAATTCCTCAAGGGCACGAGCTGCTACGGAAATGGCTTGATCATGCTCGGCCTGCCGTTCACGAGCTTCAGCCTGAAGTTTGATACGAAGAGCACTGATAGTACGCTCGGAATCATTCGAGAGTGCTTCCCGCTCGTGGCGAATTCGTTCAACGTCACCTCTGAGACTATCCCTGCATTCCGTTAAAGCATGGATCTCATCCGCAAATCGTATACGCTCTGTGTCCAGCTCATGAAGGGTGTTATCCAAGTTGATTTGAAGAGCGTTATGGGTACTGAGAAAATCAGCGTGCTTCACTGCTGTAGTGGCTGTGAGTCCCTCTAGCTCGTGTCGAAGACGAGTAGCTTCGGTGATTGCGATGTCACGAGCAGTTTTAAGAGATTGTACCACCTGAGCAAATTCGTCCTTGACTTTCTCCAATTCACGATCTCGGTCCACAAGTTTAGCAGCAAATGATTCTCGTGATGCCAAAATTTCAGCATAATCACGCTCGGCATCGGCGATCCTTTTTTGTGCATCCAGCATCTGAAGAGAAAGATGTTCGAATTCCTTCTCTTTGGAAATAGCGGCATTGTTATTTGACTTCAGTCGCGCCTGCAGCTCCTCATTTTCCTGCAGTAGGACAATTTCTCGAGCGGATTGAACACGATTTTCTTCTTGCATCGCAGCCTGCAGGTTCCGCAGCTCCTGCACTTCAAGTGCATGCTCAATCATGTCTTTCGCGTGTCTGTCCTCGAGTTCAGTGATAGCAGCGCAGTGTCGTTGACGCTCTGCATCTAGCACATGAACACTTGTCTCCAATTCGGTCGGTTCTTCATCCAGTTCATCATGACCAGAATCGTAAACCTCGCTGTAAGAACCTTCTGCTGGTGATGATAAAGGTAATGGAAGAGAGACGCTCTGGGGAGAGAGGGAAAGATGCGAAGACTGAGATATAGTTTCCGCGACGATTTGATCTTCGTCACTCTCTGAGTCTGTCAAATCTGAAGGACGCCAGGAATGAGATACAGCTTCTACGACTTGTGGTTCTTCACTCCCTGTTTCTTCGAGATCTGAAAACTCTAACGATGATTTAACTCCACTGCTTGTGGAAACAGCGTCCGAAAAATCGACTGAGCCCTCAAGAAGGTGAACACAAATTAGATACTTGAAGATAGATAAACCAAAGTCAGACATACTTCTCGAGTCGCGTTCGTCATATCAAGCAGCTCGATTTCGACGTCCTGGACGTCAGCAAAATCTTCAGCGGTAGCAATGTTCGAATGAAAAGTTGGTGAATGAGCCATTCTACAGGTCTGAGTATACTGAGCTTAGCTGCAGCGGTGAAAGACAGTAAATGAGATGTTGGTCGCAAGGAAACAAAGAACGACCACATGTAACGCATGCACTTGCCTCATTAAATCCTTGATCACGCTTAGATCAATCACTTGCTCATTAGGGAGCCAGGCTATTGCGCAACGATTCTGTAAATGCTCTAAAATACAGCTTGTCATCATTAACGTGAATGCAGAAGAGAGCAGAATGGAAGATATGATAACGGAGAAAGGAAGAAAGATATAGGACAATGTGAACAGTGAGAAATCGTACATACGTACATACTACCTACTTCAGCAACACACTAGCTTTGTCCGACCGTATCACGTCGTTTCATGCCTTTTCAACGGCTGAGGCCTCCCAGTGACCCTTCTCCCCCTCGCAATTCGCTCCGCCAACCTCTCCACGATCGGACTATCGTCTTCATCTTCTTCCAACGTCTTCTTGATCAACATCTCCATATTCAGGCCTTCACCCATACTACCCGCCCTTCTACTAGGGAGCCTCATACTAGGTGGAGGGAACATCGTCGTCGGGCTTGCGCTAGGTGAAGAGTCGGGCTCGAATACGGGTAAGCGCTCGTTCATGAGATCAGACCGACGACTATTGATAGGATAGGTTGGCATATACATAGCATGAAAGGAAGGAGAAAAACGCACGCGTCGTCAAAGCTACGGATGTTCCTTCCAATCTGGGTTCCTTGTACGTTCAATGCGTCAGGTCCTACACGCAGACCTGCAGTCGCTTGACTAGAAATATCCTCCGTAGCCACAAGTTCTGATGCTGCTTCTGATTCCTCTCTGTAAGTGAAGATGGCATGAGATGATGTCGTTAGACGCCAGAAGCAATATACATACCGAAGCAACTGAAATACTCTTTGCATCCGGCCGACAGCCATGATCTTGTTCTTGATGTTTTGCCGCCGTTGTTGATAGTCTGCCGGTGTCATATCGGCTAATGCTTGAGACTCTGCTTCCTCTTCTTCGCTGGAGCCGTCTTCCGTGAGCTCTTCTTCACTACAGATACTCAAGATGGCGAGAAGCATCTCCGTAACTGGATCAGATTGAGGTCAGACAAAGACGTCTATTAACAGAGCCGGACGATGTACGTACTCTTGGCGCCAACAAATGGCAAACTCCAGGTGAACGCATCCATAAAGTTCGGTAGCCAATATGGATGTGGACTGGCATTATACTGCCTGATGGTAATGTTCTTGTTGGCGTACTTAATCACCGCGCCTCGATTGTGATACACATCTAGATAGTTTGGGGCGGAGAATATCGTGATGACCGAAGGGAACTTCCTGGTCGGCGTTTTTCGAAACATTGTGTAACCATTGTCCTGTGCTTCGTGTCCACGAATGATCCCTAAGAGATGCGTCCTGTCGAGGAACTGGCAGGCAGCGGCATACGTGTAGAAGTAGGAACATCCACGAGTTGCATTGTGAAGGAACGTGGTGCCTTTAGGAACAAGACTGTTGGGTTTATCTTCTTCGCCGAACCCTGATACTGGATCAGCCCATAGGAGATCACAAAGCAGTCCATGAGATCCAGGCTCTCTGAAACGATCCATCTTGGAGGAGGTTAGAAAAGGTCAGATTTCTCGTTATAGAGGCGTACAGTAGCAATATCATTGAGTGTATTGAGCTCCGGCGATATTCCACCATGCACGCAAAAGAATTTACGATCTACCAGGGCTGCGACTGGCAGAGCGCAAAATGATTCGATGCACGCCTCGTATACTTGTTCAGAGTATTTGTGAAGGCCTGGAATAACAATGAGTACTAGGACGCAGACGATTCAGAAGGATAAACGCCTGACATTCGCGTTTGAACGTGAAATATTCAGTTAAATGGCGACATTCGTGATTTCCGCGAAGTAGTACAAATTTGGTTGGATAAGTTAGCTTGAGGGCATACAGATACAACAGACACTGAAACAGGAAGTAAGCAACGACATTTCTTCACTTGATATTGGGCGCACTTCGATCCCGAAACAGCCTCTGTCGACATAATCTCCCAAAAATAGATAACAATTGTCGTTTAGTGAGCCTCCGACTTCGAAAAGCTTCATTAAATCATACTTTGGGGTAATGAGTAGGCAGACGATTAACTGATCGATGAAACGCGTACATATTGTCCGTGGATATCACCGCATACTAGGAATATAATGAGTGACTTGTAAGTATTGGAAGAGTAGATGGCACGTACTTGTTACAGGGCTCTTTACATCCACCAAATTTGCCTCCTGCTTCAGCATCTCCGTTGTTTCTTGTAAAATGAACAGTGCGTGTTCTTCCTCCAGTCTTCCCTCCTTGAAAAAATGATCTTTGAGCATGGCATGATTTGGCCTGAGCTTGCCAGCAGAGTCGGAAATGTAGAATTCCGCATCAGTAGGCTTATGCGTTGCCGGTTCATCAACCTGAAGAAGCAAGCTATCGGCTTAAAATTATGGAGGTAGAACTCTGAACTAACATTTAGGACATATCTGTCCAGAACTACAGGCTCAGGAAAAGATCCCGGTACGTTATTGTCTTCTAGGTTTTGAGTAGGTTGGGCATCCATGCGAAGACAATACAATGGTTACCAATTGTGAAAGCGCCCAACAGAACTTCAACTTCCAATCTATTTGCTAGTGTTTATGGAACTCTTCGACGGCTGTGAAAGAACGATGTGGATTTGGGACTCGAAGTTGTATAATATTCAGATATTCTCGTGGCGGTTCACATTCAAGAGAGGAAACAAGCTGTATTTCTGATAAGTCGGCGAAATTCTGAACGATTGTTCTTAAGGCAGTGCGGAACAGCTGTATTCTCCCCTTTCCTTATCCTTTCCATTGAGATCTCCGAACAGAAAAGGTATCGACACGACTGATTTCAAAAACTTCATGTATAAGCGAGCTTCCCCTTTTCACTATAGTTGTGCAAGCTCGAGAGTTTGTTTCCTGGTTACACTTGAAACAAGTTTGTATATCAGAACTGCCGACGCAGTAAAAAAATGAGCATACTTTCTTGGTAATCTGCTGCCAACAGTCTTTAATCGTACAAGATTGTCAGAGTAATCGATATGAGATGGTGAAAAAAAGTCACCGACAATTCTAGCACGATCTCTGGTGGCAGACGCTCCATGAATTCATTCACTGGGATCTCTTCCTTGGGCCCTACATTGGAATAATATGCTTTGAATGACATATATTCAATCATCTTCTGCACAATTATCCCTCTAGGCAAGATTTAGTCATGTCCTAAGCCAGGATAAAAGGAAGATGGAAAGATAGTAACCGTTCTTGGGATCTATAGGTCCTCGTTCCTGCCTCGGCAAACCCCCCTACAAACGAAAAATATGTTGGAGATTTTCTGGAGAGTGATATGAAGGGCTGGGACTTTCCCGTTTCATCCAACGAATTTTTTATAGTCCCACTCATATTTGCTACCTTCCTCTTCAACAGGAAAGTATATCCATCGTTACTAACGATACGAACCCAGTCTTCGGGATCTCCTTCAACAGCATCGTCCCTTTAAAATATCATTTCAGTCAAGATATGTGGAACAGACGACAGTGATGTGGCGTGCATTGGGTGATCCTCGTTCATCGCTGTAACAGTAGTGGCAAGTGAATATAATATCTTCCCCTTGAGCATCCAAATTTGGATTTGCAACGTGGAAAACATGACACTGCGCCAGGGGCTTCGAATCCCGGCTGGGAAACTGTCTGAGAAACTCTATGGGAATTATTTCCTTTCTCGGTATAATTTCTGCCTGTGAAAGGTTTTGAATTCCGAACCAGAAAAATAATGGAAAACATTTCCTTTCTCAGAGATTTTCCTAGCTAAGATATATAGTCAAATTAAATCGCTTTTATGGCTTGGAAAAGAAATATTTCCCCTTTATAATCCTAAGGGGTAAAAGAAATGGGACTGTTTTCCTTTATCAGACCTTTTCCCCTCGGATAAATAATTCCTTTCCGGGCTGGGAAAGAAATCAGAATTTATATACTTTTCCTTTTGGGATTTATTCACTTTCCCAGCAAAGAAACAAATTGGGCGAAAGGCGGGAGAAGTCTACCCGACGCATAGCCGATGAACATCCACCGAGGGAAAGCTCAGAGGGCAATGACGACTTTAGGGCAATGGTTGGGACACCTTCATCCCGCAGTTTTGAGCATCAGGTAGAGATCGACTTCGAAATTGTGCATGCAAATCAAGCAAGACTGTCCCTTATTCATTATTCCAAAGGATGGAAGGAGTATACCCAACGGTTATAATTAGGTTGCGGAGGCAGGAGTGAAACAGATGGGCGCCTTTCGGGCGCCATTCGGGCGCCAATAATACACTCATTCGGTTTCTTTGTTACACTCATGCAACAGGACTGTCGATGCCATGAATCCTTCCAGGAAACGGCGCAGTACAAGCGATATGAGTATCGACACGTCGCAGAAAAGCTTCACTGTACGTATTCGTCTTCTTTTCCTTCATTTTGCAAAGCTAACTGTGGTCCATAGTCCGATGTATCCATGCAAGGATCAAGTTCAACAATCGCTGGTGGCTCATTGATGCAGATTGAAGTGCGTATCTTTTTTGTCTGATCAAGGTTCTTTGATCTGAATACGACTATCAGGAAACGCCGGCGAACACTGTATGTCCTTTTCGACTCCGTGCAAATAACAAACTAAGACGAGTTTTGTAGGCCAGGTTTGTTCCAACTGGTCGGAAGATACGCATCGTCCCTACCCTCGATATGCACCCTCATGATAGGGAAAGGATGCATGCTCTGGAAGGATTGCTTGCAGCCAAGACTGTTGAGGTGGACACCCTGACTGTGGAAGTCAAGTCGCGGGGTACTATCATTACCGCTCACGAAAAAGAGATTGTGCAGCTGCGAGAGGATTCCAGGGACCGTCAGCAAGAAATCGAGGACGTTCAGGAACGGCTCAAAATGGAAAATAAAGGTGCCTGGGCAAAGGTGGATGAACTACATACAGCACATAAGAAGGTTTGGATTCTCGATTTTAGTGTTGCCCAATCCTGCTTACATCGGGCTATAGCTTTTGCAAAAGAATGTAGTATTGATAGGCGAGGTTTTTGACCTGAAGAGTACACTCAAAGATTTACAAGACCGTTTTTCTGCACAAGAGGACGAGTTGAAGGAAATACGAAACTTGTCCAAGGTATAGTTTATCAACTTTTCATGTTCACAACTCACAAGTGCTCCAAATCTTTGACAGAACAATGGAATCGATAGTCTGGAGGTAAGCTTGAGTTTTCTACCGATTGTTGCGTTAACCTAACATGTTTTGTATAGCTCGAATGTCATAATTTGAAAGCGCAGATGTCGTCGTTAGCCCAAATCAATGCAGAGCTTTCCTCTGCAAAATTAGAATTGCAGGTAAGCACTTCAAATTACTGCGTTATATGTAGCTGTAATTTCTCTAGAAATCGAATGATAAACTCGGCGCTTTGACTGAGAAGTTACGGGACGATGACGCTTCCCGGAAGGTGATTGTATTGTCTCGTGAGGTACCTGTTGAACTCATATGTCATTAAGGCCTCGTTGGCTCTCAGTTCTGCAAAATGCATAGAATTGCAAGAATTGGTTGACGCTTTGCAGGTACATAGACCTCTCATTATGCAATACTATCTAACAAGTTCAAACAAATTCTCCCACAGAACGAAAAGCAGTCCCTTCAAAACTCCTTAGCATCAACAGATGTAAGTTCACCATATCCTGTATGATGACCGGTCTTATTCTCACTTTCGTTCGCGGTGAAATTGGGCTCTCGAATCAGCAGAAAACAAATTTGGAAGAAAAACTATCGGAGGCGTTTCAGAACATCACCCGGTTAACCGAGAAGAACGACGAACTGAGCCTTGAGGTTTCCGTCACACATTCGAAACTTGATGAAACTGAGGAAGATTGTCAGCAGCTGTCTAATGATTTCAATTTACTAAAGGAGGACCACGAAGCTCTTGAAGTAAGTCATGATATGTCAATGGTGACTTACTCACAGCTATTTCTATCATAGAAACTCAAGGAGTCCGAGCTCCAAATTGAGCGCAACAAGATTCGAAAAATGTTCGACAGCATCACTCACCTTGAGAATGAAAACGCCATGCAGGCGAAGAAGATACAAACCCTCGAAGGCCGACAGGTTACCATGGAGTCCGAGCTTGAAATCGGGTGCAACAAAGTTCAAGAAATGCTTGAAAGCATTGCTTGCCTCGAGAATGAAAAGACCACGCAGGCACAGAAAATACAAACCCTCGAAACCCGTCAGGTAACCCTGGTCTCATGGTGTCCATTTTGTAGACTGACTGATGTTTCCAGCAAACGGAGAGAGAGGCTTTTCGGGTTGATCACAATGCCACAGATCTCAAACTACAGGAAGCAAACGCACGTAATACAGAACTCCTGCAGAAAAATCAAGAACTCTCAACTGAGAGAGAGAGACTGATACAGTCAGTTGACGACGCTGCAGCAGCCTACCGAAGGATTCAGGACGCGGAGGCGGCGCTTGTCAGACAATTGGCGGATGCGTCGGCGAAGTCAGATCGGAGGATTCGAGAGCTCACAGAAGAGAAAGAAGGACTTGCAAACAATGCAGCATCTGCCAGTCGAAGGTACAAGCAAGAATCGGCAGACGCGGCGGCATTAGCCAATCAGAAAATTCTGGAGCTAGTGGGCGAGAAGGAAACGATGGAAAACGACGCGGTGTCAAATAGTCAGAAGATCCAAGAACTTACTGATGAGAAGTGCGCGCTAGTCAGACGACTGGCGGACGCGGCAGCCGCTACCGATCTCAAATACCAGCAGCTCAATGATGAGAAGAACAGCATGATGGAGAACATGGGGTCTGCCAATCGAAGGATTCAAGAACTCCTCGATCAGAAGAAAACTCTGGTTCAAGAATCTGTGGATGCGGCCAGCGCAGTCAGCGCAGCCAGTTTGACAATCCGGAAGCTCACTGATGAGAAGGCGAAATTAATCCAGGACACAGCATTGGCCAATCATAAAATCCAAGTGCTTACAGATGAGAAGGGGACACTAGCTCAACGCGTGGAGGCTGCTGCGACGACAGCCGGACAGAGAATCCAGACACTCGTCAATGAGAAGGCAAAACTAGTAGCCGATTTAGCCTCAGCCGGTCAAGGACTGCAGGATGAAAAGCGAAAGTTGTCGTTGGCAGAAGCTGCAGCAGTCCAGAAGAATCAAGGATATGTTGACGAGAAAGCAGACTTGCTCCAACAACTGGAGCAACAGAATGTTGAACTTAATAGGCTCAAGGTCATTGCATTGCTGTCATCGCTATCCTTTTATTGTTGACCAGATTAATCCAGGAGCTCGAAACACGTAATGAAGATGATTGGATTGCGAGGGTCAGTGATGAGTTCTTACAAAACTACGTGGCTGATCTCGTATGCTCTCAGGCCCGTTTTGATTTATTATCTGGCCACTTGCAAAGGGTGAAGCAAGAATTATCTGCAAAGAAGAATGAAGTAAAGGCAGAACAGCAGCGGCGTCATGCTGTAGAAGCAGAGTCTCAAGATTTTCGTCATCAAATTTCCCTGGATGCGCAGCGTTATGAAAACCTCAAAAAGGATAAATCTCAGTTGGAGGCTCTCGTCAACGAGCTTAAGGTGTTTGCTAATTTTTTTTTAATGTGGCGTGTCGTTGAACGGTTAATAGGAAAAATGTGACCAGGTGAATTCGACATCAAATGTCACATTATCCGAGGAGATTTCAGTCTTACAACAAGATTATCTGGCAAAAAGCCTTGAGGTTCATAGGCTCCAACGAGAACTTCAGGTGAGTTATTCCAACTGTCGCATTTTCCTAAACCCAAAACAATGATCTCTGTAGGCTCTGACAGGGAATAATCAACCAGTAGCCTCTTCTTCACGACCAACTCCTTACTCGTCTACGCAGCCAACTTCCACTACTTTATCTAGCCCGACTCCTCCCGCTAGCATTCCAACCCCACGTTCAACACCGATCCGCAGACTAACCCCTGCGTTGCCAATGAATGGAGACCTCTTACATGACATCCGAGCAACTGGAGGGCTAGGGAGAACGTTAGCTAATGCTCCAGTACAGGCTGAGCTGGACCGTATTTTGAAGAACACTCCTCGATGGATATTACCTGTACGGGTGAGCCGCAATGTGGTGGTTTGCCTACTTATCGATACTGAGGTGTTCTCGATACTTTGTTTCAGCGCTCCAAGGATAATACCCCCATAATCAGCAGACCTGAAACACATATCAGGTCTTTGCGTAGCGCAAAAGGGTCCCGTTATCTTAAATCGGTGAGTTCATGATTGCCAGGGCTGTTGTTGATGTGTCTGACTGACCGAACTTCCCAGAAAATTAATGACAGGTCTTCCCACTTCCTCGCCGATGAAGAAGATGAAGACAGCGACGACGAGCGAGAAGCAGAGGAACGCTCGGGACCATCATCAGTAAGTGGAGTTGTATTCAGACGTCATTCCTTTGCCATACTTCTATAGGTCCGACCCGATGTCTCAAAACAGCCTGACTCAGGTAAAGGAAGGCAAACAACAACGTCCTCCTCTGCTCCCTCAGGAAGCAGAAACACCCAAGCCCAACACCAGGACAACAACGGAGACAACGACGGCAGAGATCACAACGGCGGCGAAGATACGTCAAGACGGCCTGACAAAGGCAAAGGAAAGCAAACAACATCCTCCTCTGCTTCCTCAGTACCTTCGGGAAGCGGAAACAGAAACATCGAAACCTGGCAGCAACAAGATGGAGATGACGGAGATGACGGAGACGATGGCGACAACGATGAATTTGCAAGACGGCCTTTGGATAAAGAAGACGCACCAGAGACGGACGAGTCCAGGGTGCCGTTAATGTGGGCAAGGAAAGGTTATGAGGAGTTCGACCCTCGTAAAGTCAAGCTGCATGCCAATGTAAGAATCGCGCCCCCAAAAACATGCTACTGAACTAACCCAGTGGTTAGGCACTCGCCCGAGATATATTGCGTGAAGCTTTCAATGTCCGGCAGATCTATGCCATATTTGCGCGGGATGGTGTGAGTGTAGAAAGGACAGAACTCTACATCAAGGATCCTATCAAGTATGCGCCCAAGCTTCGCAATACTCGTATTGATAAATGCGCGGCAAACACTAAAGCAATGAAAAAGCTTCCTTGGAATCGGGGACTGGTTCATAAGTTCGCAGCCAAAGCAGAGGAGATTGTTGCAAACTGTAAAGACGGCCGATTTGGGACAGAAGCCATCGATTGGGTTTCCCTATTTTCTGACCGACTTTATGATGTTTTCAAGCAAGTTGTCAAAGCACGACGTCAGCCCAATGAAACTCATGAAGCTCGTGTGTTGCGTCTTGTTCTGGCTGACACTGAGCGCAAATCACGAAATGCAAAAGTTAGCCTTCGCCATGCAGTTCGTACCTCATTCTTTTCTCCATTTTCTGTTCAATCGCTGATGTTTACCTGTGCTAGAAACATCTATCTAGGAGTAATGTCTCAGCACAGATGATCAGAATATGCCGAAGCCGCCATGACGAGGCCGGTGTTGCATTCTGGTCTCATACTCTCGATGTTACCGACATACTCCAGGACGCAGGTCAATCTGACGAGGAAGATGCAACTGTTGATGTGGAAATCGAGGGAGTCATGATGAAACAGGACGTCAAGATGGTTTCCAGACTCTACTGGAGAAAGCCTGACATCGAAGCGCTATATATTATAGCGGACAAGGCTCCCGGAGTAGAAGCTGGGATCTTCCACCGAGCAGGTGCTCCTCGTATTCCAAGAATTCGGACTGACAAAGTCAGCCATAGGGAACCGCCTCGTGGCCTCCCCAGATGTTTCTTTCGCGAAGAATATTTGTCTGCTCTAATGCCGTATGAACTGGAAGAGCTCGAGCTTGTCGATTACAACATCGACATGTATGATTTCCAGAATTACAACCCGAATGCGGAGAATGACGATTTGCAGGATATGGACACAACTTGAATACTTGCATCCCCAACAGATCTTAGGTACGAGTCGTGGAAAGTGTGTATGCGTGAATCTTGTGTGCAGTGTATATTAATAGAAGTATTCTTGTACTGAAATATGAATATATGACGTTTGACAGCCAAAGTGTTCGTTCTGGAGTGAGCGAAGTCGGACACTGGTCGGACACTGGTCCAATCGGGTTGCTCCGGGGTATCGGTGTCTACAGCTGGCCTTACATAATGTTTGACCTTCTGTACCCTCTACTCGTTCTTCTCTGCGTCAGGGTTCAGCACTCAGGCGTTTTGGTCTCTTTGCGCAAGCATTTACCCAGGCCGATTCAGCTCCTGTCACCCTTCGCACATGAGAAGTCATCACCAACCGTCTCCTCGCCAGACATCAATTCGTCCTCGATGTCTTACATCCATCCCGACCAACTGTTTCCAAGGAAGAGCTTTCTGAAAAGCTTGCTGCCATTTGCTTTAATCTACGATGACGAGGACAGTCAGAAAAAGTTTGAGCCGAAATAACGTCTAGTTCGAGTGCGTGTATTTTCCCTTGTAGCTTCAAGGACTTGATAGGCTGATGAACGTTTACAGTCAGGACTCGCGACCAAGGTTGACGATTTCTCGTAAGCTACGGAAGGAGCGTAAGAACCGGGCAAAGAAGGTATATACTATACTCTATTCAGCTCTGAGGCTTATATTCCTGCGTACTGACAATCTAACCATCAGTTCCGTGGTACACAAAAGATCAAGGGCTCCGAACCCGCCAAGAAGGGCAAGTAAATCATTCGCCGATGAAATCGTTCAATCGCGAACCATCTCCATATGCTTTGTCGTATCATTACAACCTCATGACTTCATGCGATATGCGCTCTTGACAGTCGAAATAACTGTTCGAACCCCAATGGTAGTCTTTCTCCAATTCATTACGGAGGCCAAAACACCGAAGATGCAGTCCGGTATGCCGATTGCCAGATTACTGGTGAATAATGATGACTCCTGCAGAAAATACTTCATTGATGAAACCTTCGAACGGGTTAACGGTCAGTTAGATGTTGATACAGGTTCTGTCTCGATACTCCTTTCCACTCACCCGCTAATTTCCAAGATAGTTCCCGTCCATCCCTATGATTTTTGCCTCGTCATCTTAACGGTTCATATACCTGCATCCTCGACTGTCCCTTTCTCATCTGTACTTCGCGCTACTACCTCCTATTTCTCTTATTTGCTGACTGGTTTGCCCAGGTCAGAACAATATGCAAGTATGCCAATGTTCCTCTGATCAATGGGGCGAAACAAAGTGCACAACAAAATGAAGCCATTCCAATCAGAGAGGTTTGTCATAGAATACAAGAGTGCGATCGTAAAGTACACAGAGATGTACAAAATAATTACTGTAAATGTAAGATTAATGGGACAAATTGTCCAATGAACACGAAGATAGAACATGTACATGGGTAGACATGAGTATCGACTTCGACTAATTAATGACTGAGAAGGCAGTCGACTGCAACCAAAAGTTACGAAGATAGAAGCTGTACACGGATGTCGACTAATCAAAAAAAATGGCTGAAGGGAATTGATTGCGAGTTCTAGGGTCAAGAATTTGTGAAAACCTGTGATTACATTAAGTCAGTCAAAAATCGTTCGCATCACCGAAATGACATACCTCCTGATCGCTTTATCCGCTGCTCTATCCTCCAATCCACTACGCAAATTCCTGATCGACACCCTCTTACCACAAGCCACCAAAAGAACGTCCCCATCGACAAGACCTCCTCCCAAATTTTGGACAGATAGGTTCGGTGGAAGCAGCTTGTGCCGTTTGAAGAACACCAAAAACTTGAATGATTTTCCACCATAGCGGATGCTCAACACGACGTCGTGGATGTATGGTTGGAGTCTGGGGTTGGAAAGGAGATCCCCAGCGAAGACAAAGCGGTCCCTCGTCGGTTGTCGAGAGTTCTCTCGGAAGTGAGCTGTGACAACTTTTGGAGATGCGCCGTGGGCATGATACATTCGCGCACGAATGCCTTTCACAGTCGTCTATGCTTGATATGATAAGTCATCGTTCGCTACCAATTAAAGACAACTTACATGTTTATCAGAAATGCAAGTCGCAACATGATGCATACCCATTTTTTTCGAAGGAATAATGCTGGAGGTTGGGTCTGGGGAAGAGAATACTGGAGTCGAGTTCTGCAGACTCGAGGTTCTAGGACATGGCTGTTTTAAAGGATCTCCGCCTTTGTCCTTTTTCATATTTCATTTCGACTACAACCAACCTTTGTCCTGGATGGCTGGGGCATGCATGCCCGGCTGTCATCCGACTATCTATCCTTTCATGTCGCTTCTTGCTATGTCTAAAGGAAAAGCCCTCAGTAAGTCCTTTATTCCGCGATGGCTCTTAGATAATTCCAAATCCACATATACTCACAATCAATTACTAGAAAATATGACGTCGTACAGCTATCGCAAGCCTTTGTACCTTTGTTGCCTATAATGGCTCGTACCGACTACAGGCGACCTTTGTATCGTACGGCTGGGCACATCCGGCCTTCATTCTTCCTTGCTTCCATCCACTCTCGCCATCCAAGTACTCTCGCCATGTCTAAACGAAGAGCCTCTAGTACACCTTTCTCTTCCCCTTCGAGCAGCAATGAGCGCCGCCTGGTGAGTCACCCTTGATTAATCTTGAATTTGTATTCATGACCGTTCATTAGAAAGTTCGATTGGTTGCCCAACCGTCGCGAGAGGCTAGAGAACTTGACTCACTGCTGCTCTTGAAGGACCGCGCTTTGGAGGACATGAACGACGAATTGGACGAATTGATGGTGAGTAGCCCTGTCCGATGAATAGCATTCATGTATTGATGTCACGCAGAATTGTGATTCAGAACGAGTTAAATTCTTGGAAGAGGAACGAAAGCAGGTGTTTCAGGAGAAAACCGTTGCCGAAATCAAAGCAGAAAGATTGCAGCGCCGCGTCGTCGAATTGGAGACTGAGCTGTACAACCTCAAGTTACGCAATGCTCAAGTCGTCAGCATTGAATGTCCAACTGAACCCTCCGATGAAAACCACGAAGCAAAACCGGTGGTTGCTAGCGTCAAATGTCCCACTGTGCCCGATGAAAGTCACGAAGTGAAACAGGTTTGCACTCCTCATTCTTGTGCTTCCAGTCATTCCAACTATCTATGCTTGTAGTCCATCAGCACGGTTGACGACGTGCTCAACAATCATCCTGCAGGAGACGCTGCACCATCTAAAACCCCCTTTAACCACGAAACGTCAGATAACAATAGCTCAAGTATCGAGGTTTGAGGCATCCATCAGTTCCTATTTCGTCAAGGTTGATATTCTCTGTAGCTCCCGGTCTACCCTGAAGATGCTTTGACTTCAGATAACGCACGAAGATGGTTTCCCTCTGCATTTGAATACCTCAATCAGGATATCAGTAAAGAATATGTCGACCTCCTTCGAATCTGGGTAGAATTCGAACGTGCTAGAGACTGGACATCCTCAAATAGGAGTTTGGACCGCCGTGACAGGCCCAAGGTGCTCAGCAAATGGATCACAAATTGCAGATACGAACGAAGCGGCAATGAACCAGACTTGACCAAGAAGGACGACCTCGTTCAGTTTTCTAAAAGCTTCACTCGCTGGTGGGATAACCTTCGGCGCCCTCACTCTAGTGCTGAGATTGCAGCTCGTGACACTCAGAAGGGTTGGCAATCTCTTGACAGGAGTGGAAAGAATGGTTGGCTCAGTGTGCTTGCATGCCTCAAATGGTGGGGAATGGCGTTAACGGAGAAGGATAAGTTGGGTCCTTTGGGTGACGAGTGGCGCAATATAATCAAGGATGCCTTGCTGGTGTTGAGCGAACTTACGAAGGACTGCTAGACTCTGGAGCCTTTCACTATAATTATGCCGTGTAACTATCTAACTATCCATGGATAATTTTTCATGCCATGTCATTGTCCAAGACCAGATATATAATGTGAAAAGCACGTCCGTCGTGATTATTCAGACCGCATATTGTATTTATACAATGCTATCGGTGGCTCATTATCAGGTAGTCATCGTCGATAAATAGATATTTACACTAATTCCTTCTTCGAATCTACCTGGACTCTTACTCGAACGGTCTATCACATCATAGAAAAACAAGAGTGAACATATTTGGTGTAAAGTGGCAAAGAAATTACAAGAAAGTACATGTAAATCAAGAGATAGACATTTCATGAGTGAAAAGAACGCAAAAACAATAGGGATCAAGATCAGTGTAAAGCAGCTAAATGAACACAGAAAGGTAGTAAATCGAGAGAAAGGAATTTCACGAGGGGTAAATGAAAGCAATATCTACTTGAGTCTGTTTAACCGTATATACATGTGTCTAAACATCGTCATCAATGGATATGGGAAAAGGGGCAGGTACAGTTACGGAGGGTAAGATAGGGTAAATTCCTGTACGGCGAGGGAATGGAAGAGACAAAGGGCCCGACCGGAACGCGCGCGGCCAATTCAGAGGCTGACGAGTAGGAGCATTGAGGCCTTTCGACTCCAGCATATCGTCGACGCTTTGTTGAGACGAGTAGTTTGGGATAGGAGTGAAACTGCCCTGAATTGTACGACAACTGGGACAAGCAAAATTGTACCGAGCTCTGAGATATAGGTCGGACAATTTGTGCAGGCAGTCCCTGCAGAAAGTATGGCCACAAGAAAGACTAGACGATGACGAAGCTTGAAGTAAGTATGCTGGATGCAAATGAAATGTGGAATACACACATGAACGGTTCGAGCATCACTTCCATGCAAGTTGGGCATTCATTCCGCTTCTCTGCGGTGTCTTCAAAGGCTTTGATGCGGGTCATCGCGTTCTAACTGGAGTCAATATTGCAGATCACATGCACCGGAAGGATAGCGTACCTCAAGGGCATTGTCAAGATGGACGTGAGCTGGGACTTCGTCTTTCACTTGCACTTGAGCATCCTGCAACTCTGACGAGACGGGTAATTTCTAAATCACCAAAGTATAATGAGTATCCTGAGCGGTCAGTGAAGCGTGGATTGTATTACGTACCATCGAGAGCAAGACCGGCTCTTCGTCACTATCAGAGTCTAGATGCAAGAACTCAACCTGCAAAGCACAAGAGAGGAACTTGTCACAACAAGATTAGACGGCAGTAGAAGAAATCGAACCTCTTGTGTGCTTGTATCTGAAATGCCTAACGGAAGGCTGCTTGGGTTATATTCCTGCGAAGGTGTAGCTGGAAGGAGGATCGGCTCTACATAATCTAGTGCCATATCGCGAAAATCAAGGCGCAAAGGGGTAGAAGAAGAAGTGGCATCTTGAAAGCCCGACGAATTGGAAGGCGTATCAGGAATGAGCATTGGTCGTTCGTATTCCGGTGCCATGCTGCGGAAGCTAAGGCGTGAAGATGCGGAGGAAGATGAGGCTGGGGGTCTGCGACGCGAAGGGGTGCTCGGAGTTGGAGCACTACGACGAGACAAGGGTGTGGTGGGTTGGGAACGAGTCTTGTATTTCCTCCCGTAAGTCCGGCTTGGAGGAGGAGGAGAACGACGGCCAAACACTTGAGTCGTCAAGGAGTGGTCAGGGGTCGACGATCGGGACCTCATGGCAACTGCTGGAGTGTTCGTACGCATTCTAGATTTCGAAGTAAATCAGTTAATCTACGAAAAGAAACAAACAGGCACGAACCTGACAAAACTGAGGAGAAATATTACGTCGTAAAGCTTCTGCTTGGATGAAAAATCGAGGAGGAAAAGTCGGTCGAATAACTTGAGTTCAGGAAGGAATTCGAGGTTGAATGTTTTGAGATGCGACTTGAGTGACGCTTCATATAGCTGCCCATCGTGCCGTATCAAAAGAACTGGAGTACAAAGGGCGCTCTTTACCGATTCTGTTTTGGAAAGGAGGTGCCGGTGAAATGCAACGCCTCAGCCCGTTAATTTCCGGCCATTTGCATTGTCATACATACTAATCATTGCTTTATGCAAATTCATTTGCTTCGTTATCCCTTTATTCCGTTCCAACAATCTCGCAATCTTAAGACTAAAAAAGGATCATACCCAGGTAGCTACGCAGTTTCAATGGATGTCGCGCTTATGAACAAAGCCATGTTTGTTTCTGTGAATCGGTGAGCTCTGTAAAATCCCTTTCAGTTGTACTTCAACCTCTGAACGTTCTATACTTGCCTGTCGCAATCCGATTGCGACTCTACCTCTGCTTCACAAATTGGCCGGGCTCTGGACATGTATAGTATTATCGAAGAGCTCAAGGCTGGACTTTAGTATATATGTACATCTCAAATACGTGCTTCAATATGTGCTCTTATATATGTACCTCGAAAATCAAAACATGCTCAGATGTAGCTATGAAGCAGTTTTGATCGACTTCTGGGCGAGCATTGCCCCATGGTCCACACAAAGAACAGTTCAGATTCATATTTCTGTAAGTACGACTAAGAAATTGAAAGGCATGAAAGACATGTACAGTTGACTGCTTTATGATATAAACAAAGTAAACGACTACTCTAACACCATCATATCTGTTCTAATAACAATGGGGGACTGGTCACGATTCTGTCTGGCCACAGCTTTTGCCTCATATCTACCACCTGTTTCGCGGTGCGTCTGTTTGCGCCATTTCGTATCTGGTGAATTGTTGCGTTTGAAAAAAGGAGTCTGAAAAAAAATCCAGCATGCATGCAGAACTCAACCAAGCATAAGCATACCTTATAGTAGAAGGATGAGCCGAATAGAGTGCAATACCCAACCAAGATAAGAAAAGCCAGTGTGATGGATATACGTAGCCATCTCCAGATCCTCTTCGGGAGATAAAAGCCAACAAGGACGTTATCCTGAGTCGAGGGAGCTTCAATTGAGGGGTTCTTGAGCTGCGTCTCTTCTACCGGGATACGCTTCTCAAAGATGACAACTTCTGCCGGCTGCTGGGCAGTCGATCCTGCGATCGCAATGAGATGGCGGTCGGGTAAAGTAATTGTCTACTTAAATTTGAGTACGATGTGAGAAGCCAATCATGTAGCTGTTTGCACTCACCGAGACCGGTTGAACAAGGCCCCCGCGGGGATAGCTCAATGTTTGAAGGGTTTCCTCGCGGTTAACATCATATACAACAGCACGACCGCGGTCAGTTCCTCCAACGACTATATTTTCTGACTCTCCAAATGTAACTTGTTTTGGGAACAATACGAGAGGAATCTCTGCTTCAAAGGTTTGAATCAACTCGAGGCTGCCTAGGCGGTAGAGCTGGAAACTTTTTCCGGTGTAGGCGACAAATTTGCTGGTTGTTTGATTCAAAGCGACGGAACCCCTGTCACGATAAAAGCAGCCATCGTTAACATGGGGCGATGGAAATTCCTTCGGAAACGTACATTGTCATTGGAGCATGCGACTTGCGACACTTGATCGCACCGGTCTTATAATCCAAGCAGTGTCTGTGCGAAGTTAAATGATATAATGTCTGTCAAATTTGAAGATCCACATACATTTCGCCTCCATAGGATGGGAAAACGAAGATGTCCCGAGTGATTTTGCACATACGAACTGTTTTCGGATTGACGCCTTCATCAAGGACAACAGAGAAAACCTTCGAAAACTCTCCGGAAGACGTCAAAGTCCAGACACTGATGTAACGGTTTCCCGTAGCTGCGACAACCCTCCCGATCCTGCCACTCGCAATATCCTGTTCGTGAACATCCACAGAGAGAACCTCGTCTTCTTTATTGTCCATTGGAGGCACACGATAAAGCAGCTGGAAAGTCTATACGCAGTTAGATGTATTTCAACAGATGTTTCCACACGTTAAACTCACCTTAGTCTCGTTATTCCAATCCCAGAGAATGATATCTCCACGCATAGTGCCCAGTAGTAATACGTGACGTTTGTTCTTCTGGAAGTAGACCCAAACGGATGCGGTTATAACATATTTCGGATTTTGAGGAGCAAAGAGCATATGTGGAAGTGAAGTAGGCGCGAGAGTTGATAGATCCCAAACGCAAACACCACTATATCCTAGATACAACTAGTAGGCATGAACTTGATAAATCACGGAGTTACTTACCAGCAGCCGCCAAGAATTTGGCTTTAGCTGAGAAAGCTAGAGATATTACCGCGTCACGCGGGCCTTGTAAGGTGGTTGTTGGCATATACTGAGAACTCATAGAGTCCTCGTCGAGGAAAGCACAAGGTAGAGATGAGTTAGGTGGCATGTACAAAGGGCGTTCATGAAGTACGCGTGGAGAAGTCCGGACCGAATTGGGCCCTTGTATCTTATGTCTTGTTTTCTTTATTTTCTTTACTTCATGCGTTTACCGAATTTATCAAGCGAAATCGGAGCCTTCGATCCCTTTGTCCATTTGCTTTGCAGAATTGCATCGGGTTTTCTTCGCCTTTGTCAGAGGCAAATATTAGCCTGCTTTCTCTCGAAGTCCTCAAATATGCAATCCCCACACCTTTCGACTCGTTCGAACTCAATCATGGATCCCTATCGTAACTTTGACCATCGTCCTCTATGTGCTGATCATAAGGAGATGCTTCCACCTCCCGTCGTAGCAGCTGCCGCCGACCACACTCCGATCGCTCCATCGAGTGGGCCAGTACGCACTCAGAAAGACACACTCAGAGTATCGCCCTACAGCAGTCCTTCTCCTGAACCACAGCCGCGCCGACAGCATACAGCTGTATTGCCCTCACCTTCGTCGCTCTCTATCGAATCGCTTTCCAGCGAACTCGAATACGACTCCGACAGAGAACGGATTGCACGTCTACGAAACACTCAGCGATACAGTGGCGATCATGGTGTGCCAATGGACAGAACTCCTTGCCGTGCCAAAAGTCCCACTGTCGATAATGTACATGCTTCCAGCTCGACTACAGGCAAAGCGACTCAAGGATCTGACAACATTCAGGCGGAAAGAGAATCTCGTTCACGCAAGAGTGTAACCTTCTCCGCGGAACCCACGAGAAGGCGCAGTCCACCTGCCCTTGTTTTCGAGGATGACTCCGATGATGATTTTCTGATACCAAAACCTCCTGGTGAGGTAGGAAGGCCTGGTCGCGGCGGATACTCTCTCTTTGAAGTCTTGGGATGGCCCAAGAAGAAGTACGATAAAGTCAAGGTATTGTCGTGATTCTGCAATGCGGTATGTAGCTCACAGTCTCTTATGCAACAGAAATACATCAACACCCTTGTTGAGGACCATCTGGAATGCGAGCTTCCTATGAGCGAACAATCGGTGGCAAATGTAAAAAGGGTTCGACAACAGGTGAGAATTCATGACTCAACTGTATGACTCTACTCTGACTCAAAGCTAGGCCGTCGAAAAGTACATATTCCTGAAGGAATACAGCGGGCTCTGGGCCGTCGATGACTTCATTCGGAACCATCTGAAATACCAGAAGTGTGTTCTCAAGAAGGAGAAGCTAGAGAAAATTGTAGCCGAAGCTCGACCTGCTGAGAAGAAGGATACGAGATCTCGAGCTAGTGGGAAGTGAACTCTTGTCGATTAACGCATTATCGTGGTATTCCCCATTACAAAATTCTCTATTTGACATACTCGTAACTGTACTCCGATATTAACTTTCAATAACTACAATGGTTTCACTCTTCAACAATTGGGCACTCATATGCTGCCTTTTAATGATAGGTTGTGAAATTCTAATTTTCGATTATATTGTAGATACAGGAGGTAATTAATTGCAGTCGTCATATGTGCATTTTGAGAGACAGGACGTCAGAGACACAAGGGAGGTGAGGATGAATGCAATCAGTCGATGACCTCGTTTCCCATGAGTGTCGGCAGACTGGTTCAAATGAGAGCAAGGCTACAAGGATGAATAAAAATGCACACCTTGGAATTGCAGATTCATCTCCAGCTGTGATTTCCACCTGAATCATAAGGCCCTTCCGCATAGCCTCCAGATAGTCAGGGCGATAGTACGACTGAGGAAGGTTTGCAGGAGGGGAGCGTTTGACCTGCTCCTCTCCACGAATCCGCGGAAGTCGTTTTCGCCCTACACCAGTGAAGAAGTGTTTCTCAAGTGCTCGGGTCATATCGACTTTGTCAAAAAGTTCATCGAACTGCGAATGGCGAAATGCAGGGGAGTATACAATGATTCCTTGTTTTCCTTGGGTGTCTAAAACCTCATCGTCGTCGGACATGCCCGCAATACCAAGTCGACTAAGAGCATTGAGGATATCGGACCAACAATTGTACTGTTGTTCATTGTCGAGAGCCTGCGCTATTTGTACCATGGCAGAAGCGATTTGAATGCGGCGTTCCAACTTCTGATCGTAGGAATATTAGTTCAGATGAACAGAAATTGGACTGCTGTGTACATACATACTCGCGCAACCTTCTCTTCTGACTTTCATGCTTCTTGCGCTGGTAGGCAAAGTCATAGATACCACCTTTAGATTTCACAATTTGGAGGAAAATATAGTTCAATCGTTCATCAAAAAGAGAAGACCAGTCCAAGTCCCTCTTGTCAATTCCGAAGTATTCAGGATCTGAGGAGGCGCGGTCAGATGCCGCACTTGCAAGGAACAAGACAACCATCTTGTTCCAAGGAGCGTTTCGCATCTTGGCTGCAGTTTTTGCGGAGGTGTCGAGTTTCATTGGAGGAGTAGGGTTGTGTGTGCTCGGACTTGCTAGATATGAACCTAGTTCATCAGCAGGGACAGTGAAATCCTGCCAATCGGATGGGTCGTCAACGCTGAGAAACTCATCAAGAACTTTTCGGGCAAGTTTCTAAGAAGAAACCTATGAAAAAAAAAGTGTGCTTAAAAGACGAAAACCTACATTTATGTGACGTCGAATTTCAGCATCTGTGTATGGCCTGTAAAATAGAGGTGTGGTCAGTGTATGGAGCATGGTATGAGATGTCTTATCAATGCGTACATCCTAAATCTCTTTATAAGACTTGAGTCCAGTAAGACTTGTGAGTCGGGTTGAAAGAGCGCCGGAACCAGGTCGGAACGTAGTCGGAGTTGTGGGCCGAAGTCTCTTGCTTCTCGCCATCGGTGATCGATCGTTATGGCCTCGTATAGAGATCTTCTAGCTGGACTCAAGGACGAGATCTTGCCTTCTTCAGCTCACTCTAACTCTCGACCGACCAGTTTAACAGAGGCGCGAACCCGAGCGTCTGCGGAAAAGTATAAAAATCTTTCACTCAATGATGAAATGGACTACGGACTTAGGGTCATGGCGGTTGGCATGTCTTCAGACGCCCCCCCGTCCCGTCCTTCGCATTCACAGCCTTTGAGTTCTTCGGTCAATGGATTCCACGAAGAAATCGCGAAAAAGACAGTAAGTACCAATCGTTGCAAATATCTGTACAAGCCGCATTGATAGGATCTGTCGCCTAAAGGTCAAGAGTATGCTCAAGAACACAGTGGCTTCTAATTCTTCGCCTGAAGAAGACTCACTAGAATCACTACTATCTCCCGATGCTCAAGGCCGTTTGCAGTTCGGTGATCCAAAACAACGTCACAAACGTACGACACAGGCCTTGACTACGATCTCTGCTATAACGGAGGCAACTCGTGGTCTAAAAGCCCAAATTGAAGCTATCTCATCATCCCATACCTCAGCAGAAATAAACGCCATCCTTTGCACTGTGGAGGATAATTCTGACGCTCTTCGTCATCATATCAGCTCTGTCACACGTACTGCAGTATCTGAAGAAGTCAAGGAAGCGAGAGCAATGCTGGATCTTTTGGATCAGGTAGTCAGCGTATGGAGAACAGATTACCCTGACTCTTCGCCCGTGAAAATTGACAACCGTATGTGCTCCATTTGACCTTTGGAATATGCTCTCACATTCAATCAATTCACAGGGAAGTATTTTTTCGACCCAGGTGAAGGTAAAAATGCTCCAACCCTCATTGCATACTGCATTGGCCTTGTCTCTCGAATTTTTGAACGAACAGCGCAGCGCGGGGCCAGTCTTACTCTGAAGTTATTGAAGTTGTTTGGTTATTTTATGGCAGTGCTAGGAAATCAGGAGCTCAATCCCGAACAAGAAGCAACTCTCGCTGCTATTCCTGAATCCATCGAAACCTTGGAACAAAAGTTTAACCTTGACATCGATTGTATAACGTATTCTGTCTGTCCGAAATGCAGCTACACACATCCTCCTTCTTATCCGAACGATGCCTCACATCCGGTTTACCCAACTGTCTGCTTAGAGAGAAAGGCATTGTCAGAGGAGCCATGCGGCACTTCCTTGCTGCTACACGGAAAACCTGTAAAGACATTCGAGTACTATCCCTTCTTCGATTGGTTCGGGAAGTTCTTATCGCTTCCAGGTATCGAGGAATACGGAGACCGGTTCTGTGACGTCGTTAGTAGCCATCAGACCATACCCGTCGACAAAGTAGATGAGACGGATGGGCGATTTGTCCATGAATTTTGTGCACAGGATGGGAAGATGTTCGTTGCTGAACGAGGAGAAGAAGGTCGTTGGTTTTTCATTCTAAATGCCGATTTCTTCAACGCCGAGGGGAATCGTATTCGTGGAAAGACGTCGTCAACTGGAATGTTGGCTATGACCTGCTTAAATCTCCCGCTACAAATACGAAACGACCATGCCTACATCTACATTCCCGGAATCATTCGAGGCCCACATGAGCCTAATGCGAACGATGCAGAACACCGCCATTTTTTGAGACCGCTGGTCGATGACTTGTTGAAAGGGTATACACGCGGTGTTCGACCCTATGCAACCTTTCGAACTCGCAACAACAAACATCGATACAAACGCATATTTCGCATTGCTCTCGCATTAGCTTTGATGGATTTTAAGGCTATACGACCATTCTGTGGCCTTCTGGATGTCACGTCTCACCACTTTTGCTTCTTTTGTGATTGTTGGCATGTCTCACATCTGGGACGGACTGATTATGAGAACTGGAAACCTCTGGATGATGACCTCCTGAGGAAAGCTGCTGAGATATGGATTAATTCTATGCTCAAGAACCGGAAGGCTATTGAACAGCTCTATGGTACCCGGTACTCAGAGCTCTGGCGCCTTCCTTATTGGCGCCTTCGTCAAATTGGCATAGATCCTATGCATGTGTTCTTCCTTATCCTTCTTCAGCGGTACTTCCGTGATATTCTCGGGCTGGACAACCCCGATGACCCCAAAAAGAAACTCGCAAAACCTAGGTTCAAATTTGCCTTCCAACATGAGTTTACCTCACCTCCCCCGTTATCATCTTTAGTTAAGGATGTACAAGTTCCTTCACAACGATGGAGCAGTTTAGTTGGATATGCTTCCCAACCCGCTGATGATCATCGACTTTCGTTGCTGAACTGGGAACATCTCACCACTGAACATTGCATCTGTCGACAAACCCGGTTAGACTCTTTGAAGGATGAGATCAGTAATGATAGTCGCGCATTTCAAGGTGTCCTGGAGATTCTAAACGATTTAACGGAACAGGCACCAGATTCATTGACGACGCAGAAGGTGTTGTTTGGGAGACTTCATAAACAGAAATGGAACTCACTTCTATATGTCTGTGACAACCTCGCTATTTTCCCTGACAATCGATGCCCGCAATATCAGGGAGTTTCGAAAATCGTCAAAAGCAATGCAACAAAGGCACACTTGACCAATCTCTTGATAGAGTGGGTACGTGTGATCTCTCCCTGATCTGTCTTCGTGCCTTCTGATGTATTCCCAGCGTATGAACAGTATCCAAGAAATGCAAGACTTCATATGGCCATTTTTTACACCCAAAAGTGGGCCACTACCTATTGCTCCGTGGGCTCCGACACCTCAATCTAATACTGGCAACATCCGTTCAAATACAACTCGCAAATTCACTCTTCAAGAGCGTTCAAAGCTCTTGACAGAACTAGGCAAATCTATGAATTACACATCTGCGGCAGGTATAGGCAGCATTCATCGGATACTTCAGCAACCGTTGGCTCCCAGTGAACTAGATGAACTCAAGAAGGCATTAAAGAAGTTGCCTGGGGACTCTCTCGCATATGTCTGCATTGATATCGAACAATTGCCTTCTGGGCAATTTTCGAAAGACGACATGGTGAGGCAATTAACAGCCTGGGTAATTATCAATAAAATTCTGCTGGATCGTGTTTCTGATACTCTAACTTCTTAGAGGATGACGAAGCCACTCAATCAGATCAATCCAACTGCTGTGGACTCTTCAGGCCTGTTGCGAAGAATCCAGCAAGTTGTACGTGAAGTTGTTACACCAGCTTGGGTGTCGAACCCACCTCGGAACGTGGGCCTCTATGAAGCAGGAGTCCTGAAGGCTGATCACTGGAGAACCCTATTTTCGATTCATGTTCCACTGGCAACGCTGAGCTTATGGAGAGAAACGTCACCTTTAGCTGCCGCAGATGCCTGCAATATGGCTTCTGTTGTCGACACAACCATGAATCTGTGCTGTGCATCATTGGTCATGACCAAGCGTAAACTGACTTTGAATCGGCGTGAGCAATTTCGACATCTCCTACGGCTGCATATTCTGGGGCTTCAGAAAAATTTTCCTGGATGGATCTTCCCCTCACACCATCTTGCATTTCATATCCATGATTTCATGGATTTATTCAGTGGAGTCCGCCACTGGTGGCTCTTTCCCTTTGAAAACCTGATTGGCAAATTACAACGTATCCCGACAAATCACAAGCCCGGTACGATATAAGTTTTTGAACTGCACATAGTATCTCATCCATAATAACCTACAGGTGAATTTGAACACACGACACTTCATTTTTTCAACAAAGGATCCAACTTTCGACAATATCTGCTACGACCTAATGCTCCGCCTATCCTTCAATACGCGCAGAGACTCATTGACAAAGCGTACAACTATGATCGTAGACCTGCTATGCAGGCTGACAGCGGCGATACTGATGAACTTTCCGATGAACTCTCCGTTGTGATACCGGAGCTTATGGCAGGTAATGTTGCCCCACCGCCCCCGGAGGCCACCGTTGCAAGCTCTCCGGAGCTCACCCAATTACTCGGAGAAGATCCTTACGAATCCTTTGCTCGAATCCCTGCAGCCAAGGGTGACTATACTATTCCACTCGAGAAAGCGCTAGGCAACAGCTACATTTCCTTCCAGCCAGCAGGTGATTACCAACCTGGTCAGCCCTGGCTGGCTGGTCAAATCGAACATATTTTCAGGCGACGCAAACAGAGTCCAATTGAACTAGCTATTCGTCGAAGCCAGTCCGTACATATGCCGGATCCGTTTTCTGAATTTTGGGAAAATGGCTTCGAGGCAAAGCTGGTTTCTCCAAAATTTTCGCGTACCTTGGAAATCATTCACTTGAAGCAAATCGCCGCACATTCAGCCAGATGGACTATATCCGATGATTTGGTCGTTGCCGTTAACCTTTGCTCAGTGCGCTAACCTATCCTAATTATCCCTTCGTACTGCTGACTGTTCACTCCTCAGGCTTGATTGTTGACATCTTCTCGAGGACCAAACGGCTTTGTTTTACATATAACTTGAGTTACCTTATAGTTAAGCTCAGATGAATACGTATCATGTACTGGCAATTCCAGATTTTCAATGTAGATAATATTGTGCTACCATTATCGAGACAAGTACATGAAAGTAGTGATCAACGCAGTAAGAAGGATATCTAGTAAGGAGAATCGTAGTCTACGACATCTACTTCAGAAGAACATTCGGTGGACGAGAAGTGGTAAGGCCAGACAAGAGCACTGCAGGGTGCAATAGGCCTTCGTAGGATAATGCGCAAGGAATTAGCCCTAGCCTGGAGATGGTGAGATTCGATGGGCGTGAAGCGGCCGATGATGACGTGACAGAAGGGACATTCAGGCTTGGTTCCGTGCTCAAGATAAGTCATTGCCCAGGCTGAGATACAAGAAGCACAAAAAAAGTGGCCACAGGACAAGCTAGATTGAAGAGTAAGTTAAGAAATCAGCACTGCATGCGGCATAAGGCGTACAAGTGGGGTCTGTTGACAATATTATAGCAGATTTTGCATTCCAGGTCGCGCTCCTCGCGCTCGAGATGGGCTTCATACTGCTCCGTCATTAACTCGAGCTTTCCTGTTGCTTCCTGGGGGCCCCGTAGAGAAGAGCAAGACAAGAGACGTGGTCTGTCATGCGCTTTAAGTTGCTCCTTTGTAGCCTGAAGTTTTCGTACAAGCGTCTTCGGCGTGTGACGGAGAGGCTTCTACAGTCATTCATGAGTACATTAGCATTTGTATCTGCAAGTAAATCATGGCACGTACTTTCGACGACCCCTCTTTCAACAGCCCCACCAAATTAGATGCTTCAGTGGCAGAGATCTGAGTTGGGTCCTCATATGAGGTAAGGTTTGCTCCGTCGTGAGCGAGTTCAGATTCGAAGAGCTTCTTGTTGCGTTGAGCAGAACGCATGCGTCGTTGATGGGGACCGTATGTGTCCATCTTTGCATTCGCAAAAACACGAGCTTCATTGATCGTCCGAGGTAAGCAGTCGATGAGAGACATTCTATCAAGATTCTAAGGTCAGCTAGGTATACCACAGTAGAGAAGATTCACTCACATCGATATTTGAGTGAAATCAATGCAGGAGAGGGATTGAAAATGCAAAAGCTGACATGAATGCGACACCTTTATAGGGCTTATAACAAAGGATCTTTGTCTGTGAGTCTTAAAATTCATCATAAAGGGATCAATATCTCTTACCTGTTATTCGACAAAGACACATATTCCATATTATTTGAGCATGTCGCAAGTACGAAGATAGAAAGCAAATTCCGTCCATTAGCAACTAAAGAGGAAGAACGCTTCTTCATTATCGTCAAGTTAGTTGCTAATCATGTCATAAGCTGTCCGTGCTGGGTTGGAAGAGACCCGTTCTCTGGATAGGTTGGACGAGGTCCGTTTTATAAGTTGAAGCTCGTCAGCGTATAAGAAAAGGTCGGGTCTGGCTTTCACTGCCGGCCCGCAGGGCATGTGCCGAACATTCCAAAGCCTTCTTGGGCACTTCCTTTCTGTGCCACAGTTGTTTTCTCCATCCCTATCTACATACCTATTTTAGACTGCCTGATAATGTCGTGACCATCAGGATGAGAGTAACCTCAGGATTACCCTAAGACGAACCGATAATTGGCATTGCCCTCTGAGCTTTCCCTCGGTGGATGTTCATCGGCTATGCGTCGGGTAGACTTCTCCCGCCTTTCGCCCAATTTGTTTCTTTGCTGGGAAAGTGAATAAATCCCAAAAGGAAAAGTATATAAATTCTGATTTCTTTCCCAGCCCGGAAAGGAATTATTTATCCGAGGGGAAAAGGTCTGATAAAGGAAAACAGTCCCATTTCTTTTACCCCTTAGGATTATAAAGGGGAAATATTTCTTTTCCAAGCCATAAAAGCGATTTAATTTGACTATATATCTTAGCTAGGAAAATCTCTGAGAAAGGAAATGTTTTCCATTATTTTTCTGGTTCGGAATTCAAAACCTTTCACAGGCAGAAATTATACCGAGAAAGGAAATAATTCCCATAGAGTTTCTCAGACAGTTTCCCAGCCGGGATTCGAAGCCCCTGGCGCAGTGTGAGGCGCAAAATTGCCTCACCGGAATACTATTGGAACGACTTTCAATGACTCAATCTCGGTCACTTTTGAGTTTCGTCTGCTCTTCATGGTATAACTTTGAGCCTACCCACTCCATAATCTTTATTTCTCCTCATGATTGAGCTCCCTTTCGATCTTTGGTGGAAGATTTTCGAAATACTTCCCCCAGACGCGCGCGCACAGTTTCGTACTGTCAACCGTCTCTTCTTGGAGATTGCACGTAGAGTTCAGTACCGTAATCTTGTCATAGATGGATACGGGAAACGGACCAAGCGTTTGTTGAAGAGTATAAAGTAAGCTGTACTGCCCGCAACAATAATTCGAATACATAATGATGTTGGCATACAGCTTGTTCTCGTTAGGCTACCATGTCCAGTCACTGCACATCCAACCATGGGCTGTTTCCAACGTGCCTTCGTCAAAAACTTACCGCGGACCTAGCGGTCGAGTTTCCTCTGTTTTTGACCATGTACATTCGTTTTTTGACTCTGACTATCCAACGCGCAGAGCCGAAGCTCTCGTCAGGAAACGAATGCGGAAGCAGATCCAACTGGTTAAGGAAACAGCAAAAACACTTGGGTTCGTTCAAGAATACAGTGTCGAATGGAATGTCGATAGACCATACCATCCAGAATTCTTCACTGCTTTCTTGTCTTTGGTTGATGTTTCACCCTTCGGACGGACGCTCACCAAACTTTCTTTGAAGGTCCCTACAGACAGACTTGTTTGCTTGGCTTCCCTAGATCTCCCTGCCCTCGAACAGCTGGACATTCAGCTAGTCACCATGTCACTTTCAGAAAGGTATATCAACGATTGTTTCGACAACTTCGCTGTCTTCGTAAACAATTTATACGATACTCTGCGTTCGCTGTCGATCTCCTCTACCCACATATCCCTTAACCTCAATCTCTACCGCCTCTTCTACCTCCTTGGAGATTTCCCGCACCTTCATTCCCTGGGCCTCACAATTCCTTACGATGGGGCCCATCTTTCATCCTTGGACAGTTTGCAATCGTTCATACAGAAGCACGGGCGGACCCTCCAGGAACTCAAGCTTCTGTGCAATCGCTCCGCTGCAAGGACCCGGCCTAATGACCCTTGTGCTAAATACTGGATCCAGCGCACCATTACAGATATATTTACGTTCGGTAACCTCTCGAATATCTGTAGCCTCGAACTTGCTCTTCGTCCACTGAGGAGTGAACTAACTCCATTTCTAAATGTCCTTGCTTCTGTAGCCAATCAACTGGAATCTCTTGTCCTCACTGATGACGCCTTAACTCCTGGTGAAGTAGAACGAGTTCTCGCGGTACTAACTTGCAAATTTTCTGCTGGTACAAATGGAGGTGTCGTTGAGTACTCCAATTTACGCCATCTGGCTGTTCGTTTGCAATACCTATGTCTATTCACGGTAGACCTCATCGCATCGAAGCTTCGTCTATTACACTCCTTGAAATTGACCTTTTCGGATGTCAGACTTCATCACTACGACGAGGCTCAATTATCATATGCTTATGCATATTCCGAAATACTGGTCAGTCGTATCCTTCAATTCAGGTCGCACAATGTTGCTTACAGGGAATTCCTCCGCTCACCACAGGGGCTCTTTTATGCCGAACTAACCACTCGATGGTATTCGGAATGGAAATTGTCTTCATTGGCCATATCTGAATGCCCTTACCGTTTGGAATGGGGAAAAGATATGGAAAAAGCTTTCACAAAGTGCATTCCAACACTCGTCTCATTCAAGGTGTTCTCTGTAACCTCGTGAGCTTCGAGTTTTGCATCGATGCATCGATGCGTGTCCTAGTTATATCTTCGGATTTCCTGCGCATTTGTCAATGTATATCACCAACTGTAACGACTATTGTAATTTGTATGATATGTAAATAATGTATGTATGTATGTACTGTATATCCGCCAAAATTCTAAACTGGACTGATAATCGAGATGTTATGAAGGCACTGCAGCAAACTGTACATAGGGCAGCAGCGTTGACAGAGACTGGTCTCGCAGCATAATCCGTCAAATTGTACAACATGTATATATAATCTCCGTCCGATCTTCTCGTTCAAAACATATTAGACGTCCCAGAAGACCGAGCGATCTGTACGGATGGGGAGTTACCGGGGATCCAAGGCAACTTGAGCTTGCGCAAATTTTGCAATAGGATCGTTGGAGCGCTGTTATAGCTGTTCGTTCCACAGCAAGATGGATGTGGAATGGACGTCAAAACTGACTCATACTTTTTCATTTATTTGTGAAAGTTATAATAACGAAGTGTTTTGACCAAAACTCCCATCACTAATATATCATGCTGGTTGTAGCCTCTTCCTCGTTGCGAGCTGGACGAAGGGCTGCCATCGTCATAGGAGGCCAACGCCAGGCTGCTGTACATGTCGTTCGCAAGTCTGGAACAAGGAGTTTACAGCAGTCAGTTGCGCAGACAGACCGAGTTCGTGATGTTGAATTCTATGGAATAAAAAATCTAAATATTGACTACCATTGCAGGATACTATTACTCGACTTCTTTACTCCCTAGGTTCAAAACGAGAAGTTGAACGCCATCTGCGGATCTTTTCATCCGCTTCACATCCTTCTCAGCCAGCCAAGTTCGCGGTCATCAAGGTCGGAGGCGCAGTACTCGACCAAATTGATGAGCTTGCTCTCAGTTTAAGCTTTCTCTACCGCGTTGGCCTCTACCCGGTTGTCCTTCACGGGGGTGGGCCGCAATTAAACGGGCTCATTGAGCGTGCTGGTGTTGTACCTGATTACATTGATGGAATTCGGGTCACTGGTCAGTCACTATCACTTCGCTTGATGCATTGTATGACCAGTTTCTAATTGGATTACTCTCACAGACACCAAGACTTTGCAAATTGCACGTCGGGTTTTCTTAGAAGAGAACTTGAAGCTTGTCGGAGCCCTTGAAAAGCTCGGAACTCGCGCCAGGCCGATCACTTCCGGTGTCTTCACCGCTGACTACCTTGACAAGGACAAGTATGGTCTCGTCGGAAAGATCATTAAAGTCGACAGGCGTCCCGTTGAAGCTTCTATTCGTGCAGGAGCCCTCCCTATCCTTACCAGTCTTGCTGAATCCCCAGATGGGCAAATCCTGAACGTCAATGCAGACATTGCAGCAGGCGAAGTTGCCAAAGAGTTTGAGCCGATGAAGATTGTATTCCTTAATGAAAAAGGTGGCCTTTTCCACGGAGTAACTGGAGAGAAAATTAGCGTCATAAGCCTGGACGAGGTTCGTTCATATTGCTTTTTTGATTTCGCCCCTGCTGACTGCATATTCAGGAATATGATACGTTGATGAAGGAGCCTTGGGTCAAGTTCGGAACGAAGCTCAAACTCCGCGAATTCAAGGAGCTACTTGATTACCTTCCTCGCACATCCTCCGTTGCTGTCATTTCTGCCTCTTCTCTCCAGAAAGAATTATTTACCGATAGCGGCGCAGGCACTCTCATCCGTAGGGGTTACAAACTCTTCAAACATGACAGCATAGAAAGTCTTGGGGCAGACAGATTCCGTCAGGTTATTCATGATCGCGATCCTGAAGTCATCTCAGGCGACCAAAGCGTTACGGAGGTGCTCAACCGCATTCAGAAGACACCCTACACTATTTATGGCGATGAGCCTATGGATGTCTTCGCAGTCGTCTCACATCCTGAAGGCGAGATGCCTGTCATGTCGAAACTCCTTTCCTCTCGTAGTGGCGTACTGAACAGCGTTGTGGACAATGTCTTCAACGCTATCAAAAAAGATCACAGGAAGCTTTTCTGGACCGCTCAAGTTGACGACGAGAACCGGTCGTGGCACTTTGAGCGCGCAGACGGTAGTTTTACTCGGGCTGGAAAGAGTCTTTTCTGGTACGGTATCCAGGATGTGACAGAAGTTGAGAAAGTCGTGCGTGACTTTGAGGCCAAACAACGTATTGAACGTTCGTACCTACCTGTTGGTCCTGGAGCTCCCCCGCACAAAGCCGGTGCAGCAGCAACACCTGCAGGTACTCGTGCGTTCTCGACCTGGATCAGGGGAAGGAATATTCCTGGATCGTCGCGCGGATATGCTACTTCTGTGGCAGACGCACCTAGCCCCGTGTCCACGGAGATTAAACGTCTCGGACTCATTGGTGCACGAGGTTTCACTGGTCAGGCACTCACCAATATTCTCTCGGGCCACCCCTACCTAAATTTAACCCATGTTTCTTCTCGCCAACTCGCTGGCTATCCTCTTACCGGATATAGAACTCCTGTCACATACAGTAATCTTTCCCCGGAGGATGTGGAGAGAATGGAGAAGGACGGCGAAGTGGATGCTTGGGTCATGGCGTTGCCAAATGGCGCTTGTAAGCCGTTCGTCGATGCTGTTGACCGTGGCTCAAAAGAGAGGTCCTCGGAACCGAGTGCGATTGTCGATCTTAGCGCAGACTATAGGTTTGAGAAGGAGTGGGTGTACGGGCTTCCTGGTGAGCGGCACGCTTCTGATGGGCTATAAAGAACACTGTGTACTTATTTAAATGAAATTTAATCGTCTTTTTGTTTACTTCGTATGCTTGCCACAGAGCTCTACGGACGAGATGCAATTCGCGCAGCGAAACGAATTTCTAATCCAGGGTGCTACTCTACTTCTGCGCAAATGCTAATCGCTCCGCTGCTGAAATATGTTAAGCCTGGAGCATGGCCTACTGTGTTCGGTCTATCTGGGTACAGCGGCGCGGGAACCATTTCAAGCAATGACCCTGACGGTCGTCCTATCAGTCTACCAAAAGTCACTCCAGACTCACTCGGAGGAGGTGTTCGCCCTTACTCACTTACAGACCACATTCACGAGCGCGAGGCGGCGTTCCATCTATCTACGATGCTTTCTGACCCTTCATCGTCGACGATGAAATTGGCGTTTATCCCAGCAGTGGCTCCATGGTTTAGTGGGATCATTTCGACGTTGTCGATGCCGCTTAGTGAACAACTTACCGCTCGGGATGTCGCCTCGCTGTATGAGCAGAAATATCAAGGGGAGCAGCTAGTGAAGATCAAGAAGGAGGTACCCACGTTGGCTGATATTGAGGGCAAACATTCATGGGTAGTGGGAGGAATACAGGTGCATAGTGAGGGTGATCGTGTGGTCATTGTGGTATGCTCTATATCCTATGTCGGAAAGTCTGTTTGCTCAAAATAAATGATCACAGGGTGGACTCGATAACTTGTTAAAAGGTGCTGCGACCCAGTGTTTACAGGTAAACAATTTCATACCCAGCCTTCTGTCATTTGCAAATAATTTATCCTACAGAACTTGAATCTTGCTCTTGGGTACGACGAGTTGGCTGGAATTCCTAACTCTGCTTAATAGATAATCGGATTCTGTACGATTTCTGAGGTGATTCATGAGGGGAACAAATGCGCGAACTATACATATCACCGTAGAATAAAATCATTTAGTTTACTTACTGGCCTGAGGACTACATAAACTGAGAATTCATTTTCTATTCTAAATTACGCGCCGCACAGCCACCTTCCCAATCGATCTCGGGATACAACTCTTCTTTCTTCTGAACCATCTTTACAGTACACAGCGCTATCCAACATTGGCAAACCCCAACAGCCCGTCACAATTTTGCTTTTGATCCTCGATTAACCCCGAGGCCTAAGTAGAAATCAGGTCCATAGGTTGAACGATAACATCCCCTCAACAGCAGGCGAACTTCAGAAAGATGTCTCTGGCTGGTTTACCCAAGGTTCGCCTACTGGCTTCAGCCGTTCTATCTGTATCTCTGATGATCACGCTTCTTCTGAACTGGCCGAATACATTTTACTCTTACCTCGCGCGCCACTGTACATCGATATCATCTGCTTACGACCACTCCTTTGTACACCTCATAAACAGCGTATCATCAAGGCTCGTCCATATTTTGCGTTCTCTTCAGATCTATCTCTAGACATAAGCAATCTCACCAGGAAACCGAACGTCTGGTCGCAGATCCTGCACCAGGAATCACTGCATCTCCTCATGACGACAATCTGAGGTACTTCGATGTGACGATTCAAGGGCCGGAAGGAAGCCCTTTCCAGAGTGTGTCAAACTGGCTACTATATCTGTTGTCCTCACCGTTATCCCTTGTCTTCAGGTGGGGTTTTCAAGCTCGAGCTGTTTCTCCCAGAAGAGTACCCCATGGCACCACCTAAAGTCCGTTTCTTGACCAAAATCTACCATCCAAATATTGGTGAGTAATTGATGCCTCCCCCCGATGCCTTTGACAGACCTATGTTTTCCAGACAAACTTGGTCGGATCTGTTTGGATATATTGAAAGGTATATTCCTCATTCTGATCAAAGTTCTGCCTGCTCAATGAGATTACTTGCCCTTTGGCTAGATAAATGGTCACCAGCGCTGCAGATTCGGACCGTTCTTCTTTCTGTGCAAGCCTTACTCAGTGCTCCCAATCCCGATGACCCCCTTGCCACAGATGTGGCAAAGCATTACAAAGAAAACGAGCAGGATGCGCAACGCGTCAGTCAAGAATGGACAGAGAAGTATGCTAGTGGTTGAGGAAACCGGCCCTTCAGAAGAGGGAAGGTATAGAATCGGGTGTATGCTAGCTATGCGGTCACCTTGTTGGCGTTTGTTGTAACTCCAGTGTATTTTTGTCGAATTTTTTGTCCATCGAACAGTCACGTGTACGGTGCGCGCGTTTCGGATTGGCAATCTCAACTATAGTACTCCTGTACTCAAGCCTCAGCTACTGAATTAACTTATCGGTGTGTTCCCCATACTTTGTAAAGTAGGAGTATCCATGATCCACAGTATCATATTTAGGATTCATTCTCCCGGAATTTTTCAGAATCTTGGCCGTTGGCCGTTCACCTCGCATTATCAGAGCGGTCTCTTTGTCAATCTTTGGGAAATAGTCAACGTCTGGATGTCACGGTAAAATAACCTGAAGCTTTGAATATGAGAACCTTGGTGCAGGAATTTTTCCAGACTCGGCATTGTCGACTCGTGTGTTTCAGTTCAAACTTGAACTCCTCAACAGCTGTTCAAATAAAATTAACTGATCCTCGCTGACTCGACCTCGGCCAAACTTTCTGCCTGTCATTGCAATTATCCGCCTGCCCGATGGTGCTTGTACTGAATGTGAACGGACTCGAGTTAATGCAGGCTCTCATGAACTGTAAGCGTAGTCTGGTAATAACTATCACTTTCTCTTGACTTGGGCCGTGAGTGTGTTCCATGTCGCACTTCTCTCGCTTCCATCTTACCAATCGAACACATTCAGACGACTTCGTACGAAGGAGCACCATAGTATATAAGGTATCAGTTTCTTGCAGATACCTACATCATCAACCAGTTCTCAGCAACTCTCATCACCAAATGTCTTCCTCTAGCACCAGCCCTATCGTACCTCCCTACTTGGAGAGGTTCATTACTGTACCCGAACTCCTGAAGTTCCATCTCGAAAACAACCCTAGCCAGCCTGCATATGTTTTTTCCCCCGAGGGACAGCATCAGGAATGTACCGACATCACTTACTCGGAATTTGTACGCGCCAGCCATCGTGGTGCTCATATCATCCGTGGTGGTCGTGCTGGCACTGACGGAGCGGTCGTCGGGGTGATTGCGTTGGTCGATACCCTTGTCTATCAGACAATGGTCGCTGCCATTATGCAAGCCGGTTGCGTTGTAAGTTCATCCCTCGTTTTGGTCTCTCTTGAGCTCAACTTAACCCTTTCATAACATCCCTAGCCCCTCTTGATCTCTCCTCGTGTTACCCCGGCAGCAGTGATCAATCTTTTACAAACATCGGGCTGCCACCGGATCCTTAGCACTCAGAATACCCTCAAGGAGCTGCTTCAAGGAGTTGAAAATGAACTGACCACCACCGCATCGCCTGACGGAGCGTACCCCGTCAATATTGAGGAAATTCCCAGCCTGCAGGAGCTTTACCCAAAGCTTGGAAGGGAACAACAACAGGACCCATTTGAGCCATATCCCGCACCGTTGTCATATCCGAAGGAGGAGGACATCGCAATATACCTGCACTCCTCCGGGAGTACAGGGCTCCCCAAAGTAATTGCGCTCTCTCATTCGACGTTGATCAATGGCTGGGCTGGGATGCGTAAGTTTTTCTTGTATTGCCTTTTCTTGTCCGCTTCTGCTAATTGCTCTTTCAATTCTAGCCATCGCGGGGCATTTACGCTCACACAACATCCGCAGGTTAGGAGTCATGCCGCTCCCACCGTTTCATGCTTTTGCATTCTTGACTCAATTCATCTATCCAATTTTTGCTTCGATTTCGGCTGCTCTTTATCCGCCAGTCGTGACCAAGCCTGACGCTTTACCCATTACACCTACACCTAACAATATTCTCCCGCAAGTTCAAGCCACTAAGTCTAATTGTATCATGGTCGTCCCAGCCATGCTACAGATTTGGGCTCAAGACGAAGAAGATGTCAAGGTTTTACAAGGGTTGAAGGCTGTGGTGAGTTTTTACCTACTCTTGGCACTGACAAGGTCGTTGTTCAACGATACCTGTCCCCCAGATTTTCGCCGGGGGACCTCTATCTCCCTCGACTGGCGACTTTCTCGTTTCACAAGGGGTGCATTTGCGTTCGTTGTACGGTGGAACGGAATTTGGTATCGTATCTGACATTGACATCGACGAAAAAGAAGACGAGAATTGGCGTTGGCACCGATTTGCGAAGGAAAGCGACGCGCGATGGGTTCCCCAGGGAGATGGGACGAGTGAACTTCAGCTGCTTGTGAGCACATCCCTCGTGTTACAAAAATTAATCTCATTTTGCCACTTGTGTAGAATACGAAGAAACATGTCTTATCGCTCATCAACATCACGGTGGACGGTGTTCCTGGGTATGCGACCTCTGATGTTTTTGCCCCGCATCCAACAAAAGCCGATCTATGGAAGATGTAAAGTCTTGAATCTGTGGTCCTTTAGGTCTCAGACTAATCATTTTCACAGTGTCGGTCGTGCAGACGATGTAATCATTCATTCCTCTGGAGAAAAAACAGTTCCACATCCCTTTGAATTTGCGGTAATGCGGAGTCCATTGTAAGTCGGAATAATGCAAAAAAATTACTTATAACATTCATATTCGGGCTTTGTCAGTGTACGTGAAGCTGTGATGTTCGGCCGTCAACGAGACCAAGCTGGAATCTTGATCGAGCCTTCACTTGGAAATGAAATTGATGTAGATGACGAGGTTGCTGTGTCACAGTTTCGAAACAAGATATGGTGCGTAATATCAACTAGGCATCCATGTATTTTCAAGCTATAGTCTAATTGTATCACCCTTGCTCATAGGCCGTTTGTAGAAGAAGCTAACCGAGCTGCTCCTGCGTATAGTAGAATTTTCAAAGAGATGATCCTGATTTCATCCCACAAGAAACCACTTCCGCGGGCAGCTAAATCGACTGTCTTGCGAAAAGCAGTGTATAAGATTTATGAGAAGGAGATCGACCAAATGTACGTCCCCCCGAAACTTTCGATTGGACATCGACCTGGATTTTTTTCAGTTACGATGCCGTCAATACTCATGCAGGTAGTGGGTCCATAGTGCCCCCTACCAGTTGGGACACCGCGGGCGTCCAGCAGTGGCTTATGGTCCAGATTAAAGATCTATGTGGAAAGTCGTTGACACCACTCGACGATGTGTTCGAACACGGTTTCGATAGGTAAGAGGAGGTATTTTTTTTTGGAAATCAAGCAACTCACACTGGGTCATCACGTAGCTTATGCGCAACCATCCTTCGTTTGCGATTATCCAGCGTACTGGCTTCAAATTCGTCAACACAAAACATTGTTCCATTCATTACCCAAAATATAGTATATTCGCATCCTTCGATTGGATCTTTATCCGATTTTATTGTAGGACTCGTACGCGATCCCTCTCAGAACAGCAAAGACACGAGTCATGAGGAAGCTATGGAGGAAATGATCATGCGTTACTCCAAAGGGCTGGACGAGCCGTTAAATGGTGTCAAACCTGCAGCTCGCGAGCCCTTTGGGCATGTTGTACTGTTGACTGGGTCAACTGGAAACCTTGGTGCTCTGATCCTCGCGATGCTGCTCTCCAATAAAGCCGTCGCGCGTGTATATGCGTTGAACCGACCATCTTCTCAAGCTTCCACGTTGGAAAGGCACATAAAGCGGTTCGAGGACAAGGCGCTAGACACCTCGGTACTTTCATCGGACAAGCTGGTGTTCCTTGAAGGCGAAACCTCGAACCCCCATCTAGCACTGACGGACCATGTTTATAATGAAGTATGTTGACAAAATCAAATTACTGTCTTCCGGTTGCTGACCGAATTATAGCTTCAAGAAAACCTCACGCATGTCATTCATAATGCGTGGAAGTTGGACTTCAATCTTTCCTTACCTTCATTCGAATCGCATATTCGTGGAATTCGCAATTTGATAGATTTGTCTCGTTCGTGCCGATATGTTTCCTCACTGCGATTTTTGTTCACCTCGTCGATCGCATCGACGCTATCGTGGGATGCGAGTAAAGGACTTTATCCAGAGGAAGTCGTCATGGATCCAAAGTATGCTGTTGGAGCAGGATACGGCGAGAGCAAGTATGTATCTGAGAGGGTGAGCTTCATTTACTGTGGCTGATATCCACGAATTCATACCAGTAATGTGTAGATATTGCGGGAAAGTGGACTTCATGCTTCCTCCTTCCGAATAGGTCAGATCGCCGGGGGTAAACCTAATGGAGCTTGGGCGACAAGCGACTGGCTGCCCATGATTGTAAAGTCTAGTCTGACTATGGGTATGCTTCCAGAAGCTATGGGGGTACGTCTTCTTTCCTGGTTAGAAACGATGCTTGGACACTGATTGATTTAATTGTCATTAAGGTTATATCTTGGGTGCCAATGGATGCAGTTGCAGAAGCTATTTTGGATGTAGCTTTTGCTAAGGAACATGCACCTCTGACCATAAATCTCGTTCACCCTCATCCAGTTACGTGGAATTCAATGATGGAAGCGATTCGAGTGTCTTTAATATCAGCTAAAGGGTTGAGCTCGAAAGCCCTGCGACTAGTACCATTTAATGAATGGTACACTATGCTCAAAGAAGCGGATACGCGTGGACCTGCCGAGAAGACATCAATTCAAATTGTAAGTCGATAGATAGCCTTGATCATTCTTCAATGACTGATTGCAAAACAAAAGCCTGCTACCAAAATACCGGACTTCATTGGAGCTTTGGTCCAAGCCAATGACCGAGCTAGAAAGACAGGCGACAATGACACTGAGGCTGTCGGATTAACCGCAATGGACACAAGTAACATCCAACGTATTAGTGCACGGATGAGAGATCTAGAACCAATTGGTATACAAGACGCCGAGTCGTGGGTGAAGTATTGGGTTCAGTGTGGCATGTAACGAACACATATTCCATAGTACAATTTGTACATTTGTATTTGGGCTTGCAATTATAGACGTGGTTCATGCAAATTGAAGACCCTCCCTGACTGTCAAGATTCGAGTGACTGAGAGTCACTGTTGCCTCATGAATCGAGTCATGTTCTCTGAACGAGTCATAGAGCCATACTTATCTAAATTTAAAGAGAGACGCTCCGAGCAGCTCTTGAAAGTCCAAGATGACAAAAAACCCCGCTTTCTGGCTGCGATGCGAATCGAAAGATTTTGAGCGACGGGCAGCTTTGACTCCCAGCACAGCCAAAAACCTCATCGACTTGGGCTTTGATATCTTTGTAGAAAGAGACGAGCAAAGGATTTTCAAGGACTCTGAATATGAAGCGTGCGTTTACTACATCTATCTCGGTGATTATCCACTGATATGCCGGGCTGATAGCCAGGGTTGCATTCTTGTACCGCACGGCTCTTGGGCATCCGCCCCTCTCAGTATACCCATCATTGGCCTCAAAGACCTCCCGGTCTCGTCGGAGCCCCTACAGCATACACACATCTACTTCGGACATTGTTACAAAAACCAAACTGGTTGGGATTCCCTTCTTCGACGGTTCTATAGCGGAGGAGGCACGTTATATGACTTGGAATTCCTTGAAGATGCTCAGACTAGACGACGTGTCGCGGCATTTGGATTTCACGCTGGGTTTGCTGGAGCAGCAATAGGAGCCCTTGCATATGCATCACAACAAAAGGATGAAGTGTTGGGGAAGCTCAAGCCATACGACAACGAAGGGGAAATGATTGATGCTGTAAAAAGCGCCCTTCTAGGTGGTAATGGTCAGAGTATGAAGGTCCTAGTGATTGGAGCGCTGGGTCGATGTGGGAGCGGAGCAATATCTTTATTCAAAAAGATTGGGGTCGACGAGTACGTCGCGGGAGTTACCATTATTATGTGGACATGCTGATGCTCATTTTAGAGCCAATATCATCGAATGGGACATGGCTGAAACGGCAAAAGGAGGACCGTTCCAGGAAATTCTTGACGTCGACATCTTCGTCAACTGCATTTACCTTCGGGAGAAAATTCCACCGTTTCTAACCAAAAGCTTTATCGAGACGGCCGGAGAGGGAAGAAGACTTAAGGTAGTAGTGGATGTCAGCTGTGATACAACGAATCCGTTCAATCCACTTCCAATATACTCGGTCAATACAACGTTCACGAAGCCTACTGCCCCTGTTGACATCAGGTGAATATGAGTTCTGTTCTTCGAGCATCAACTAAGCCGACTCTTACCTTGTAGTTCTGCCCTCTCGCCTCTCCATGTCGTTTCCATTGATCATACACCATCATTTCTTCCGAGGGAGGCTTCGGAGCAGTTCAGCCAGAGTTTATTGCCTGCGCTGAAGCAATTCTCGGAACGAGGCTATGTAAACACATGGGTAGAAGCAGAGAGACTTTTCAAGGAGAAGGTCGTGAAGGCTTTGGCGATATCGTAGTTGGATAGGTTGAAAAATCCGATATATCATAGAGAGATAGGACCTGATAGGCAACCAGTTTAGACTTGTAGAAGCTTGCAGAATCTTGCAGACAAGCTGGTACTTCCTTGGTCACAGCGATGGCGAAACTCGAATTCTAGTGCGTCGAATGGATGGGACGAAACATTGCTATTCAACGTTCAACGTTCGAAGAGGCCCCCGGAAGCTCTACCAGAACCCTGTCCGGGCAAACGCTGTAAACTACGCAATGTTTTCGGCCTAAAATACGCTATAACGGACAAGGTAAATCACGTGAAATCCAAAAAAATTCCCTGAAACTTCCAAAAATGGCGGTGTAAAGTACTCAAAATATATAATTTTCAATTTTTCTTTTGGTTCTTCTAAACTACGCTATACCGGACAAGGACTGCCCCATTGACCTTCAATCTACGCTATATTTGGACAAGGAAATGGCTGATTTTGGCCTCTAAAATACGCAATTCCGGACAGGGTTCTGGGGGAGCTTCCGGGGTCCTGTTCGAAGCCATGGCCATGGCTGAGAGAGTTCTAGCAAGGCTGTATGCTTGCTAGTCATGCATTCAAGCTTGACGAAGTAGAATCCCTCGGATCGGATATGTATATGAACATTCACCTGTCTCAAAATCATGATACGGACCACATAGCTACTACATACATGGGACAGGAGCCTCTTCGCGGCTTCTCTCGCCTTGGTACTCGCCTTAAATTTAATTTAAGAGAGAAGGCCCGGGTATCGGTCCGGCATGAACTTTCTCTTGTACCACCGACGCTCATGAACGTTGCCCTGATCTCTGGATTGGACTCTAATTTCCACTATGTATTCCGCCTTTTTGACCATAAGCAACGCTCCAGACTAGGGAAAAGCACCACATCGTGTCAAAGAATCGGCAAAAAGTTCTAGCGTACCTCTTCTTAAGGCTGAATATTCGCAGTCACCCACCAATCAACAACTTATGGTACGTAGTATAAATTTTTACCACTTCACGGCTGCCACTGATACACCCCAAAAGATACTTCTCAGTTTGGCAAACGACAATGTTATAAATAACGTGGCATTAGGCATTGGCTGAAGTAGACCCATCATGGCGTTTACCCAAACACCTTCTCTTGACAGCCCTATCACTGTACCGGAGCTATTAGATTTTCACTATGAGCACAACCCAACACGTCCCATCTACGTCTTCGCCCAGGACGAGCAAAAGATAACTGAGATTTCGTATCTCGAGTTTGTGCGCGCATGCCACCGTCTTGCTCATATCATTCGTCCACGTCGTACCGGCCCTGAACGCGCTGTGGTAGCCGTTGTCGCCTTAGTGGACACCCTTGTCTATGAAACCATTATAGCAGGAGTCATCAGAGCTGGTCTCGTAGTAAGTTGCTTTTTTGTTCTCATGGCCTGGGGAAAACGTATTTCAGTGCATTCTCACAGCCTATACTCATTTCACCGCGCAACACCCCAGCTGCTGTATTGAATCTGTTAGTGAAATCGGGAGCGCACCGACTACTTACAACGTATTCTACACTGAAAGATCTTATCGACGGTATCAGATTGGAACTTCAATCAAATAGCTCCACTTTTGGATTTAGTTTAGAAGAAGTTCCCAGTCTTGACAAGCTCTATCCTAATCTTGGGGCTGAAACTGCCGCAGACCCATTTCAACCTTATCCGACATGTCCTATTCCTCTTAGACCACAGGAAACCGTCATGTATTTACACTCGTCTGGCAGTACTGGTTTTCCAAAAATCATCCCTCTTAGCCATGCCGCCATGCAAGTTTGGGGCGCTTTTCGTGCGTATTCTAATATAACCCAACGCAGCATCGAGGCTAACCGTATAAGTGTATAGCTTCTGCGACGGACCTTCGTGGTTACAAAGTGCCAGTCCGCATAGGAGCAATGGCTCTCCCTCCATTCCACGCCTTCGCATTCTACGCACAATTTGCTTGTCCTCTATACAGCGCAATAACAGTGGCACTATATCCGCCCATTATCACTGAGGCCAACATGCTCCCCATCATGCCAACCTCGGATAATATCCTTTTGCACCTTCAACGGACAAAGTCGAATTGTACAACTGTGGTCCCAGCGATGTTGCAGATTTGGTCTCGTTCAGACTCTGATATAGACTTTCTACGATCTTTGGAAATAGTGGTCAGTTCATGTTATATATATTGCGAGGTCTTCTAGTAATATAAACTTGTCTTCACGCAGATCTTTGCGGGAGGTCCATTGCCTCCTGCGATCGGCGATTATCTAGTCTCAAAAGAGGTACACATCTGCTCAGTATACGGAGGCACTGAGTTTGGTTGCGTCACCACTCTCAAGCTCACCGAGGACAGAAACGAATGGCAATGGCATAGATTTTCGGAAGATATAGAGATTAGCTGGCTTCCGCAAGGGGATGGAACATTCGAGTGTCGATTCTTAGTAAATCTTGCTTTGGATACTCCAGAGACGAAATCGACTAAGGCTTGATTCTCCTTACCTAGGCCGTAGACTCTCACGCACTGGCGGTCGAGAATATGTCAAATCCGCGAGGATACGCGACTTCTGACCTTTTCGTGCCTCACCCCACGAAGCAGGGATTATGGAAAATGTAAGCTACGACAAAGTGAATCTCACATGAAATGCTGAAAATAGTTGTAGTGTGGGGCGGGTGGATGATGTCGTGGTCCTCAGTACAGGGGAGAAGTGTGTTCCGGCACCCATGGAGAATACAATGTTGATGAGTCCACTGTTCGTCTTCTTTTTTCCCATCTTCTTGTCGGAATCTTGATTTTTAAATCAGGATACAAGGAGTGGTCATGTTCGGCCGTCAACGCGACCAGCCTGGCGTATTGATCGAGCCTTCCCCTGGTAATGAAATTGAAGTTGATGATCCAGAGCAAGTATCTAACTACCGTAACAAAATCTGGCAAGTATGGTCTATCGCCAGCCAATCTCCACGGCGTTGCATCTGACTAACTCGATCTACAGGTCAGTAATTGAAGAGGGTAATAGGCTAGTACCAGCGTATAGCCGAATTTACAAGGAGACAATTCTTATATCCGCCCCTGAGAAGCCACTTCCTCGAGCAGCAAAGGGCACGATCTTACGGAAGGCGGCATATCAACTATACGAGAAGGCAATCAACCGAATGTTCGTTCGTGTTAAACAGTGCAGTATATAGACTGATCATGATTGCGTCGCGGTTTAGTTATGAAATCATCGATACAAACGCAAACAGTAGTCCAGTCGACCCTCCGACCAGTTGGGAGTCTCCTCAAGTACAGCAATGGCTTACACATCAGCTGCAAGGCCTGTGTGGTGTTGTGCTCTCTCCTACCATTGATTTTTTTGAGCACGGGATAGATAGGTATCAGTTTTTCCCCTTATATCGTATATGACTAAGAAGCTGTTTTTCTCCATAACAGCCTGAGTGCTACAATCCTTCGATTGCGGATTGTTACTATTTTACGGACCTCCACAAAGTCATCAGGATCACGAAGCATCGCTGACATCTTTGCTCCAAATAGCGTTTACAACCATCCATCTATCCAGAGTCTCGCTGATTATATTGCTGATCTCGTCCACTCCGAAGATTCTGCTGCTACACCAATTGTTGCAAATGATAATCATGCGCACATTCGTCTGATTGATGCTATGATTGAGAGATACTCGAAAGGGCTAGAGTTGGGTATCTCTCTCAACTCCGAATTTACCACCGTCAACAACAACTTCAATGGTGTCTCTTCCCCTTCGAGAGTGGTCGTGCTGTTGACCGGATCTACGGGGAATCTGGGTGCCCAAATCCTTTCACGGCTGTTGAAAGAGAGTTCCGTACATCTCGTGTATGCCTTGAACAGACGCTCCACCCGCGGGTCGGTTATGGAACGCCAGAAGAAGCGTTTTCTGGACAAGGGATTGGACAGCTCAATGTTACATGCAGATAAGATGGTGTTCCTGGAGGGAGAGAATACACTTCCGAAATTAGGTTTATCAGATGAAGTCTACGACGAGGTGCGAACACCATGCAGTTGCCTCTGAATCAAAGTTCACGATCTTGTTCTCACAGGTGAAAAATAATGTGACGCTCGTTATACACAATGCATGGAGATTGGACTTCAACCTTTCCCTTTCGTCGTTTGAAACGAATATACATGGAATGCGTAATCTCATAGACTTGGCCCGGTCTAGTAGACACGCGGCGTCGTTGCGGTTCTTGTTCACATCTACTATAGCCACAGCACAATCTTGGGACGCAGTGGAGAAAGGGCCCTATCCCGAAGAGGTTATAACGGACACGAAGTACGCCGTAGGTATGGGCTATGGAGAGGCCAAGTACGTTTCGGAACGGGTAAACAAGCTTTCCATTATCTCCCCACTATCTTAATTTGACTCGAAACAACTTCCTTTTTCAGATCCTCGCAAAGAGTGGTCTCAATGCGACTTCGTTCCGAATTGGCCAAATCAGTGGAAGTTCACCGAACGGTGCATGGGCGATGAGCGACTGGTTTCCCATGGTCGTGGAATCCAGTTTGAAATTGAATATGTTCCCTAATGCGAACGGAGTGAGCTTTCTTTCTCTGAAACCCCCCCCAACTCTAATCTTTTCGGAAGGTCATATCCTGGATCCCAATGGACGCAGTGGCAGATGCGATCGTTGATGTGGGTCTATCGAGTCCCGGTTCTCTCCCTTTTGCTGTGAATCTCGTACATCCAAATCCCGTCCCGTGGTCTCAAATGATACTCAACGTCCAAATGGCTGTCATCAAATCCAAACAGCTCAAGGCCGACGCGCTTCCCGTTGTACCCTTTCATACGTGGTTCGAAGCTTTACAGGCAGTTGTTGATACACCTGGGATAGAGACTGAAGCCGTGAGTCTTTTTATCTACTCGTAATCAGCCTGACTTGATCTTATGTGCTCTCGGTCCTATTAGCCAGCTGTAAAAATAATCGATTTTCTCCGGGATATGGCGCGCGCGGACGAACGTATAGGCTTACACCAGTCCGAGCATATGGAAGCCGTTGGATTGGCCCCTTTAGTGACAACCAATATTCAACGCATTAGCCCAAAAATTGCTACCTTGTCTCCTCTTGGTAAGTATGACGCTGAGCTCTGGGTTCGTTATTGGGTAATATCAGGGCTGTGACTATTTCAGCAGTGGCGTATCATCGCCGCGAACGATTTTCATTGCAATGTTTCCGCAGAAAGTCATACAAGTTGCATATAAGTACATCCAGAAGCCAATAACACAAAGAGTCTGTCCATTGTCCAATCAGTTCCGTTTTATAATAGCAAGCGAGCAAAAAAAAACATCGTATCCAACGATGTTTTGTATCATGGTACATACAACTCTTTCCGCATCAACCACCCTTCGTCACCAGTCCACTGCAAATACAAATGGTTTGAGAATGCATGATACTCCAGAGTGTCTGTGTCGAGCTCCAGGTCCGTATCGATTATCGTATCATACTGGGGTGAATCGACGTGTCTTCTGTACCATGTATGCGTTGATGCGAAAAGTGGACATTCAGATGGACATTCAGACTCCATAGGTTCAGCCTCTGTAGGAGGAAGGTGAGGAAGATAATCCGAACCGGACCATTCAGAAAGAAGAGGAAATTCGTAGGGTTGCGTGGTCGTCTTGATAATGTGAATATTAGGATCTTCCGAATCAGCCGCCTGTGTTGAGTAGGATCCATTTGGTGTGAAGGTTTTTCCGTCCAAAGAGAGAAAGGAGCAGCACGAAAGAAATACAGATTCAGAATGTTGACGTTGAGGGATGGAAGTTGATGTGGACCAAAGCTTGCGCTGCCAAGATCGTATGGGACGTAGAACTATCAAGATCTTATCAGCCTCAAATGAAAAGCAAAGGCAGGAGCGCACTCGAAGATTCGTCCACTAAAATCACTTCGTCATCTTCACTAGTGTCCTCCGTAAAGCTCGCAGCGGGTGGCTGGTGAATTTGAAAGAGTTCTGGTGGGAGATGCAGACCGCAAGAGGGAAGAGCTTCAGTAACTAGAACTAGGTCTTCATTGCGGGTGTGAGCGCATATATCCATGTTCTTTGAATCATTTTGGTCCGATGATGGCGCGAGAGATGTTTGAGGGGATCCAGGCTCGGACTTTTCGGAAAAAAGCAGTTGAGACGATAGATCGCAGTCTTCAGAAGATGGATCATGCGATACAGACAACGTATCGTTACTCGGAGAAGAACATCGAGATGCATCCGGAGAAATTGGCAAATCTTCATCGACAGGTTCGATTTTGATTAATACAGTGTCTGGAGGATTACTGACAGATAGGTGGTAGTTTTCGCAAGACAAACCGACTCCCAGATCCCGTGCTTGCCTCCGTCTAGCCCACCACCACTCATTGACGGCAGTAGGTTGTAGGTTCCTTGCGATAGACCATTCGCGGCGTGATGATAGCGTTGGAAGGCGTTCATCGGCTTCCCAGAGTTCGTTGAGCTCGTCGATATTGGCGAGTGGTATCGAGGGAATAAAAGAAGGCATGGCCAGATCAACACTGATAACGATCTGATAAGGGATAAATATTAATCAGCGCTCAGCGTTCTTTTTCCCACTTCGGTACAACCAGAACTCATGGATTGGTAAGTCGTTTATCAGTCAGCGAGGAGCCTCGAAGCCTTATAAATGCTTGTCTTCCTCAATACCCTTTGACCATGGCTCCCACCACAACGCATTATATCAATAAAGCCGCCCCCGGTGCACCTTTCTTTACCCCACTGCAAAGTCCCGCTAGTGGAACCGCGCTAGATCCTCAGCCAAATGGAAAGCCAATACCTAAACTATTTACGCCACTCAAGATAAGGGATGTAACTTTCCAGAATAGAATTTTTGTCAGTCTTCTTACATTCTTAAATCCCTCCATATGAGCTCATGATTAGACGTGATCAACAGCTTGCGCCGCTCTGCCAGTATAGCGCATCTAATGGCTTTGTGACTCCTTGGCATATGGCCCATCGTATGCATTCTATCTGCTTCACTACTCAGTAGATCTTCATATTCTCATCACAGTCGGAGGAATAATCTCCCGCGGACCAGGATTGAGTATCGTTGAAGCGACCGCTGTCCTTCCAGAGGGAAGGATCACTCCAGAAGATAATGGTATATGGGACGATGCTCACATCAAGGGTTTTAGGGAGATCGTAGATTTTGCACATTCGCAGAACCAAAAGATTGCAATCCAGGCGCGTTTCTATTTGTACTTGGGCAGTTTTTCATTATACAAATATTTATCTCCCATTACTAGCTCGCTCATGCTGGCCGTAAAGCATCTACCGTCGCACCCTTCTTACATCTCAACGCTAACGCAACACTCGTCGCTGGAGGCTGGCAACCACTCGGACCTTCCGCTATTCCTTTCTCTGAAGTCAACCAAACTCCGAACCAGCTCACAAAAGAGGAAATTCAACACATAATCAAAGCCTGGGCTGATGCAGCTAAACGGGCTGTTGCAGCCGGTTTCGATGTCATCGAAATCCACAACGCGCATGGTTACCTACTTATGTCTTTCATAAGTCCTGTGACTAACCACCGCACTGATGAATATGGGGGGAGCTTTGAGAACAGGATCAGGTTGACGTTGGAGATCATTGATGCTATTAGAGCCGTTATCCCTGACGGGATGCCTCTTTTCCTGAGGTGAGAAAATTCTTCTCTTCTCACACTCTGATCTGATCATAGTTTATGATCATAGAGTGTCTGCCTCTGACCGTATCGAACATCTCGACGAGCCTAGTTGGACCAACCAGGACACCATCAAATTCGCGTCCATCATCGCCGAACATGGCGTTGACTTCATCGATGTTTCTTCCGCAGGTAATCACTCTAAGCAAGACTTCAGTAACCCTCGCGCGCAGCAGGAGTACGCTGCAGAAATTTCTCAATCACTCAAAGACAACGGGAAGCATGGTCAAATCTTTGTCGGAACCGTTGGTGGAATTACTTCGGGCGTTCAGGCAGAGAAATATCTCCAGGATGGAGTAGCTGATGTTTGTCTGGTAGGAAGGCATTTTCAGAAGAACCCTGGACTAGTTTGGGCTTTTGCGGAAGAGTTAGGGATAAGGATTAGTTTGGCAAATCAAATTTCATGGGGATTCTATGGTAGAGGATCAGGAAACACAACCAAGAAGACATAATAGAATGATCAGTGTATAGAAGGTGACTCGGATTTTAGAAGAATAGTGCGTTGTCGAAGGTATGGCCATGACCCCTCTGAGGTGCATTTGCACCTGCGGGTGTAATCTGCAGACCCATTTTGGGCATCTGTCTCCACCGGTATATATTTTCTTTTACTATTTTCAGTAACCCTGATATCAGGTTCAAAAGTTGTGGTGTATATCGTTTAATGATATCAGTTCAGCAAACGATGCAAGTTGAAATGTAAATCGGAGAGGGTTCAAACGTTCATTGCTGAGTTGAACAGTACTAATAGTACTCCCTGACTGAGAATCTGCATGTTGTTCTTCCTGGGCTGTGTTCTTTTGTTTAATTTTATCAATCAGGAACTTTGTCCATGACATGCGGTACACCACAACTCACCTCGGGATAACTGTTGTGTTTTTGAAGTTGATCTGTAGTATCGAGGGTACTAGTGGATGCAATGTGAGCTGATTCGGAATCTGTCAGAAATCAGCTTAAAGGACCTTTGGCAAATACATCTTTTTCTAAGATTCACTAGTATTACCCCTTCGTGGCAACGATGAACTCCCTGTCTGCTTCAGAACAAGAACCATTGAACGACGGAAGGATTATATCGGTGAGAAATTTTAATGCCAACAGTTGCCAAAGTTCCTTCGTTTAAGACTCTCTGGGTTTCTGCGCAGTACTTCCTCGGTACGTGTCACTTCAAATATTACCCTTCCCTACTCATCGTTCAAAGAGCAGTATCAAGCATTGTACTTTTTTTGTACGATTGGATTCTCATGCTTCCGATCGAGATCAGATTTGTATGGAATACAAAACTACGACCTTTGAACGTCCTATATATCCTTCAAAGATACATGCCGTTCATCGACACCATCGCTTTTGCTAGTACAGGTCAGCCAGACCCTTCATCAGGTATTTGACTGCTTGTCGCTTAACCAGAACCCTATGCATGTTAGCCTCGCTTGTGAGGCCAATGAACCCAGATACATGTCGTGTCTTGGTGAATATCAGTGGATGTAAGACTTGTGTTCCTTTCTTATACTGCTAATTGCTCAATGCTATCCCAGGGATGTCTCTGGCTGGAATAGCCCTCACGGAAGGTGAATGGCGTCGTCTTACGAGTTCAATACGGACAAGGAAAATCTTAAAATCTATCAATTACTAGTCGTTCTAACAGTACGAACTTGGGCATTATGGGAGAACGATATCCGACTCTCATTCGGCCTTCCTATATTCTTTGTGTGTTGCTGGGCACCTAGCTTTTATATCCTCCATGTATTTCTTCAAACACAAACTTGTAAGCACGCCCTAAATTTTACTGCGAGTTGTTCATCTATAGCGCTATATCTACATTTTAGTCATACCTTCGCCCTTCCCACAAGAGTTTGGCTGTACTTACCTAGGCGGACAATCGGTATTTTACTTGTGCTGGGTCCTCTTGACAGTTTATGAAGCGGGTAAGAACTCATTTCAACTTCTTATCTCGGTCTGACATCACTTCGCTATTACCCAGGAATGTTGTTGCTGATGTTAATTCCTGCCATAAAATCTTGTACGCTTATTCATTGGGTTGATTTTCTTGCTGTATCTATAACATCTTATATGAGTAGTTCGTTCGGGAAGATGGTTTGCGTTAACGCGCATAGTCTATAGAGACGGTGAGTGCTTTGTAGGGATGATCAACTTGAACCTCGCACTTAACAGAGGTCTTTTGTAGGCATCACTTACTACATTGTTTTGTTCGGTGATTATATCAACTCGAATAGCATGTTGAAGTAGATACTAAATACGCGAAACAGCTTGGTCTGCCATGAACGTGGTTACCATAATCTTGCTTTCTGTGAGTGATTAGACATCTTTATCATATCCCCTAAACCGTCCACCTGTGTCCCGCCACAGCATACGGCCCTAGAAACCCTTTTCAACTCATATCAGCGCGTGATACACACCGTATTGACTAGCAGAGCGATTCTGCACATGCGAAGGCAATCACACTGGCAAGGATCAGGACTAGATGATTCTGAGGGGTAGCGGATGTCTCCTAGTTCACTTCTGTGTTCAGACTGGCATTGAGCTCAGATTTTCTACTTTTCTAATGGTAGTACATGGTCATAGATTTTATATATTATTAACAATTGAATATCTCTCTTTGTCAAGAAACACCTTCAGCTCCGAGGTCAACAGAATCTTGATTCAGCATTACTGACATACGGTTGAAGGTCAACTTATAGGTTGTAGAGTTATGTGTTATGCATGGCATTTCCCTGCAAACGCAGGTGGTAAATCAGAAAATCCATAGGGTTAAGAGTCGATTGTATGATTAATAAATAATTATTCAAAGGACATATATGTCCGGATATATAGTTGGCTCTCTTCCTCTATTGCGCAAGCACCGCCTATAAGTAGTCCATAGATCCAAACACACTACTTCCATTTATGAGGCTAGTCCAACAGAGTCCAACTCAATGCAAGAGTGATAATTCCATATCATTGGCTGTTCTTGTACGTTGTGTGTCTTCATCATCTAGTCCTGAAATCACATGTTCCTGGGTCACCACAATGGCCAGCGACCTCGTTGTCGGAAACTTGCGAGATTTGCTTCGCATGTGCAGAATTGCTCTGCTAGTGAGGACGGTATGCATCACACGCTGGTAGGAGCTAAAAAGATTTTCGAAAACATGCTGTGTGAGTCGGAGATAATTAGATCTACAGAGGTGTAGTAGTGTGTTGAAGTTGCTCACCGGAAGCAATAGTATCGCGACCACATTTACGACAGACCATACTTCATTGAGGGATCACACGTGTTGAACTTTTGATTCTAGATAGAGACTGTGTCGACACTCACGGAAAATTATGATGTAGTACGTGATACCTAAACATTCGGGAAAAAAAGAATTTCAGGTGTGCCAGGCTAGAATCTTCTTACAGGGCACTCACCATCTCTATAGACAACGCGGGTCAACCACCTTCCAGTGCGAACTGTACATATCGAAGAACACTCTGTTAAACAGATCAGCTGATTTTAGCGCACAAAAATCGCATACAATCTCTAAAACCAGGGATCAACATCAGAATCAGAATCACTACAAAGTAAAGGATCTTGGTTTATTTTCAGACGCAAGGGAAAGAGGAGAGTAAGTTCTCACCAGCTTCGTAGATTGTCAGGAGGACCCAGCATAAATAAAGTATTGGTTGACCACCGAGAATTACGCAGCCAATCTCTTGCGGGAGGGGAGATGGTAAGACTGTTCATAACAGAAAGAAGGTAAGTTTTAGTATTGCACCTTAGATAGCCCGTGAACTTCAGGGACATACATGTTTGCGACCGTAGAAACCGATGCATTATGTAGAAGTTGGGTACCCAGCAACACATGAAGAAAACAGGGAGGCCGATTGTCAGCCTGATATCTTTCCCCCATAACGCCCAGGTTCTCGCAGTAAGGAGGACTGTAGATATGATGAATCATTCGATGAGCAGCATGACCAGTGCAAGTCCGACACTAATTACCGTCCGTGAGGGCTATTCCAGTGATATACATCCCTACATTCAGAGCTCCGCGTAAGCCGCCGTATCACGTGATGCCTAAAGATTGACGCACATCCGCTGATGTTGTATAAAATACGACACGCCTCTGAGTCTATTGGCTGCACGAATGAGACTAAACACCATCCGTTCAGCGACAAATTGGCGGATGCAACAAAAACCCTGACTTGCCTACGAAGAGAATTGCAACAGTGTCAACAAATGGCATATATCTTTGGATGATATAAAGGACATTCAAAGGTCGTCGCAGGCTAGCTGTCCAAACGAATTCTATCTCCGCTGGGAGCATGAGCATCCAATCGTACAAGAACATTACGATGCTTGATGCTATGTTCGAACAATTGCCAATAAATTCAGCGCAACGATAATCGCAAGGTTTTTACGCACCGACGAAATTCTGCTCAAACAAAATAGCTCTTCAGAGAAATAAATTGTGATAGGGCTGGCACCCTTTACTAACCGATAACAACACCCGGTCACGAAAGTATGCTTGAAGAAGCGTAGAAGAAATGGTGTCCATCACTGGAAGCAGAGCGACAAGAGCAAAAGAGGAACTGAAATAAAGGGAGGCGAAGGAAAGTTTATAACACTGCTCAATCGCTGGAGTCGGAGGTCATCTCGAAACAGTGAGAAAATCATAACTTGTCTGTACTGAACAAATCATATACATAGGGATGTACCTCAATTCATCAAAGCCTACTCGATAGTAACAAAGAATCAGAGAGCAGAAGGATCGATATCAACGCCTCAACTGTTTGAGGTAACTATTGCAACATAGTTCGTGAACAAGACCAAGATGCATTGCCAACGTTTATTTACATTCATTTGCGTTACATAAGACCGTGATAATGACGGCTTCTAAATATGTACAATCTCCGTCGACGCCTCCAAGAAGAATAACATGCCCCGAATTTAATAAAGTGATACAACCAACTGGTTCGCTGTATCGCTTCGATCCAGCGCAACGATAGAATGCACTGACTGGTTTGCGTTCAATAATAGATTTCCACTAACTCGCTTCCAAACTGCTCGATCCCAATTACTTTGAACCTTGGCCCATCATCGTCTGACCCAGATTGAGTAGCCTTTCCTTGGGATTTCTTGTTACTCTTGCTCGCTCCCCCCCACTCACTTCCCTCTCCAAACTCTCTCTTCCAGGCGCGACTCAATCCTCCTTCCCACGCATATAATTCCACCTTCCATCCTCTTCTCAAGGCCGTCCTGACTCCTCCCAAGAAGCCATCTTCATTAAATTGCCCCACGTTGCCATCTCCGGTAGCGAGAATTATCGTGCTACCTTTAGGTGGAGGGCCATCGATGGAGGCAAGCACTTGGTGAAGCTTGAGCTGAAGAAGCTCATCAACACCTTGTTCGCGATAGCGAATGCGTTGCTGTTGAACTGGGCTAGGTGTGATAATGGCAGGAGGGGCAAGAGATGCTGAGATGTTGAGGTTTGGAAATGGCGGTGGTGTGGATGTGTGGGATGTAGGGAGAGAGTGCGAGTAAAGGTGACCAGAGCTCCGCATAAACCCCGGCGACAGCCCTGTTGGTCCCCCATTCTGCTCGCTCTCAGGCGAGCTATTGTCGGATATCTTTCGACTGTGAAATTTCTTCCGGCCAACTCCCGTAAATGAACTGGGTTTGTTGTCATAATTATAGTTGTTGTTGATTTGATTGTTGTTGCTGCTGTTCATGCTTCCAGCTCTGTTCCTTTGGCGCCTTTGACTTTGAGACGACGACGAGTCTCCCGCGGGAGAACTGACGTTCCCCGGTGCGCCATTCCCCGGATATGAACTGTATGGGGACTCGTTACTCTGGCTTTTCTTATGGTAACCCTGTTTGCCATTGCCTTTATCCCGATCCATCCCATCCCCCGTATCCGGTACACGAGCAAAAATCCTTACCTCAAATCCTAAGCTTTCAGCACCATCCATAGGTTGATAAAGTGGTGAGGAGGTCACTAAGATCCTACGAGTGATGGGCCGTCCACGCTCAAGAATGAGAGATAAAGCAGAGTGTGATAGGTGTTTCGGTGGTTTAGGGTAGGGAGAGGAAAACGAATGTGGCGAACTAGAAGGAGGGGAGGTTGCAGATATTTGCGATTGAGGAATCCTATAAGAAGATCCACGGTACTGAGGGTGTTGCCGAGGGTATCGCCGGAGATAATTCAGTAGTCCAATTAGTATGTTGGAGCTTAATCAAATAATGAGTAGAGGGCGAAATACGTAAAAGAGAATACACGAACTGATCAACAAATACATGAATCAACCTCTCATCTTTCTTTCCAGTTCTCTTCAGGGGGTCACCCCTGGTGTCCACGAACCCGCCTAATACTACATGTTTACTAGGACCCTCCGCATCTACAGAATCAAGATAGCCTGCTGGGCCTGACATTTGGAGGGAACCAGACGCAGCTCGCGGAGGAGACATCGTTCGATACCGTACCTTCTTGAGGTACTCTCTATCCTCAGGGAACAAGGCTTCCAACTTCTTCCCCAACAACTTAAGCTGCTGAACACGAGGCGAATCTTCGGTGACCGAATCTGTGGACTCATCCTCCTCGTCTTCGTCTTCGTGCTCATGACGAATAAGACGGAGTTGAGGTGTAGATCGGCTGTGAAGTAATCTGGTCCGACCTCGTCCACGGGCTCTACGCGAAGGGGTTCCTGGAGTAGAGCTGAAAATTACACTCTGTGATGCTCTCAATGGACTGGATTGCTGCTCAACAGAGGAAGAAGAGTCGTCTGCATCTACTCCGAGAGCGTCCGCATCTTCCGCATCGTTAAGATCATCAGCTAATGCAGTCGATGCAGTGATAGTGGAAATAGAAGAAAACGTTGATACTGTTGGAGTGCGCGTGGTGGATTGAGCACGAGGCGTCTTATTTCGTTTGCGACGGCGCTTCCGACGGGGGTCAATTCCTGTCAACATTGCTGCTGTCGTTCCAGTCTCTCGTTGCGCAGTCCATCGCTCCCGCTCTGCGGCAATGAATTGAAGTGCCTCGTCGAGGTAACCAAGTGAGGGTTGTTCTTCCACATCGAATAGGCCAAGATCTTGGCTACGAAGCTGCTCATCAGATTCATCATGATCATTATCATCATTGGTATTGTCGTGATCGTAGAAATCGTCGTCTACGGCCTCAATCTGCACCGTGCGTGGGCGGTCACGGTCTGTGGATTCAGCGTCGGTAGTGACAGGGTCAGAAAGAGAAAGATAGTTTGCAATAGGCCTGTGTGACCATACTGTCGATTTATCCTCGCGAAGATCACTGGAAGAAGTAGCTAGTGAACGGGATGAAGAGGAAGTAGTATTCGCTAGCTGTGCAAGAGTAGAATTGGCGGTCCTTAGAGGCGGCTGAAGGTTGGTCCATGCGCGTAGCACAGCGGTAAATGCGCCAAGGTCGGGAGTTTCTACTTACCTATTTGAGCAAAACTTATCCTGCATGGTGAATTGCATATACCACTCACCGTCTGAAGTAGGCTCCGAAGGCACGGAATAGTCGGAAGAAAAAGGACTGACTGGAGTTGGTGAACCTGTGCTTGTTGTAGTAGTGGTATCAGAATTTGAGCGAATCATTAGAAGAATAAAGATAGAAAGTGAAATATAGATGGTGAATGTACAAAATCAAGGTGCATGTTTTCCTCAAGGCGCTAGAAGGCGCTGCAGCGAGTGGGCTGGTAGATAACTTCGACAAATAATGTACGTAAGATATTGCTTTTTGTCTCTGTTCGACAACAATATCTCAGCCAGCTGAAAGGTTCCATTGTTGTATCTGGATGATTCGCAGGTAGGAACAGGTACTCTTTTCATCAATCTTATGCATGCGGCCCCTCCCGTAATACTTAGCCATGAAAACCATCGTAATCAAGCTCGTTTCTTCAATTGACCACGTTTTTTGCCCATTTATTGGGGAAACCAAGTCACAAGCTACATAGTTATATCCAGGTTATATCTTCAGCTTCCTTCAATTCCAAGATCATGTATTTTTTCGTAATAAGCCAGCACCAAGCCAGCACCTGGCTATCGCCGGTCCGGAAGTCCGACATATCCTCCGATAAAACCAGCTGCAGGTTGGGGAGTCATTTTCTTATTCGTTGTTGAACTTTTTCTCCCACTGCGAAGCGAAATCAGAGGCGTGTACACTCATATATAATCCAGCTGTATTATTGATGCTGACAGGACTTACTGCAGCCTTGTAAGTGACTAGGTCGACACACCCCAAACCATGATTGCAACAAATTCGGCGGGATTCCTCATTTACGAGGGAGTTATGCCTCTGTTGAAGACGTGTGTACTAATTGGTTCCTTCCATTCTGCGTCAACCACTTAATTTGTTTGCACGCAGCTACATTGCTATATTCATCGGCTACATTGTTGCCCGGACGGGTTTGTTTCCTCCTGCGGCATCCCGAAGCTCTTCCCAGTTGACTATGAATGTCGCATTACCTTGCCTTATCTTCTCCAATATCGTGCCAGCCTTCACGCCGTCGAACATATCCGCTATCGGTCCGCTGATGTTATTGGCTGTGATATACATTCTTGTGGGCTTTGCATCGGGGCTGATAATCAGAGAAATATGTTTCGTACCGAGGAACTTCTGGCAAGGAATCATAATTGCTGCCGGGATGAGCAATTGGGGAAATTTGCGTGAGTGATTTTCTCGTTTCTTTTGTTGTAGTCCTTACTGTACATTACTTACTTGTTGTTTGTAGCAACATCCGTCGTTCAATCTGTCACTGCGCACGCGCCGTTCAACGGAACCACAGACGTTGAACTCGGTGTTTCCTTTGTCTCCATATTCATCATGGTCTACCACATATTCTTCTGGGTCTTTGGTGCCGCCGCGTCTCTTCAATGGGACTTCCTTCCGGATGTCCCACAGGGAGAAGAAGCAATGAGACGAGTGAAATGGAATGAGAAGCCTATCGGCGGATTTCTCTACCGATGGCTCTACCAACAAACGCAGGAGGAAGAAAGAAGACTAAAATCTGCGGCATTCTTTGGGAAGATGAAAGGATTCATTGGGAATAAAGAAAATTTAGGATCAAAGAGCCGTAATTCTTTGGAGCAAGAAAAAATTGAAGAGGACATATCTTCTTTCCCAGAAATGTTAGAGGCAGGTACCGCTAGGATTCAGCAGCAAAGCATAGATCCCGACGTTCAGCTCGCCCGTAGAGTTTCCAAAATATCCGCACAACTACCCCAGCACCAATCCCAATTTAATCCCGCGTCCGCTTCACGTACACACTCACATAATTGCTCAGAAACGACTTTACCGCTAGAAGAAAATCTAGATGGCACAGTCACACATAATACCTCAAAATGGGAACGTCTCTTCCCCTCGCGGTTCGCCAAAGCCATTAAATCAATTTCGGTTATTATCACGCCAGTGACCATTACTCTGGCAATTTCCCTTCCCGTTTCAGTGATTCAGCCATTGAAGGCCCTGTTTACGGATGCCACAGCCAGCGGAGGACCCGATTGGACTGGACCAGATGGCAGTCCCCCGTTAAATTTTATCATGGATACTGGTATGCATGAGGTAAATAGCTAATGCATGAACTGACTTCTTACCCTGGCTTATTTTTGCAGCGACATTCGTTGGGGGACTGTGTATTCCATTGTCGCTCATTATCCTCGGAGCGTCTTTTGCTCGTATGAGCATTCCAAAACGCTTAAGCACTTTACCGATACCAGCAATGATAATGGTCACATTGTCAAAGGAGGTTCTGGTCCCCGTTGTTGGTGAGCATAGGGAGTCGTGCACGCTCAAAGCGAAGTTTGGAATTTACGTAATTCCGACTTCAAGGTATCTTCCTCACACAAACATTCGTGAACAAAGGTTTAATACCTAAAGATAATCTCGCACAGCGATTTGTGGCTATCTTTCTTAGTGGAACACCGACCGCTGTCAAGAAAGTATCATCTTTCTCATTTTCGTATCGTTTCTGATCAAAAGAACAGTCAGTTGGTTGTCGCAAATCTGTATGCTCCCGAAGGAGGCATGGATACATTGACAGTGAGCGACTACATAGTAATTTTTCGACAGACGTACTGATTGCATTATTGGACGAAGGCATTCCTGGTGGTGGAATGTACGTGTTTGCCTATGATTATACCGAAATAGTCTGCTGATTGGAGTATTTGAATGTCACATAGATACTTTCATGTTCATCTCCTCGACGTGAGTGTGTCCAATTTCTATGCCACACAGTTTCCCCTACATCGTTTTTCAGAGCCCTGACTGCAGTCGCCTTACTACTTCTCTGAGTCAGATCCAGCGTGTGCTAGGCGCGACTTCAGAAATTTTGGGCACTGTAGTAATCATTAGAGTTACCTTCAATAGAATAGAGTCTCTATACTTAGATGGTGGTGCGTAGTGGGTTGTGTGGATATTTTTGGGATTGAATTGGAGAGTAATATTCGACATTGATTTTTTCACAAGGTAATTGTATGATTTATGAACAGTAAACTAAAGGTATGCATCAATTCACAATCGTCGGACACTTTACACGGCGACGGTTGAGCGCTCTCGCAGAGAGCAGTGGAATAACTTCGTCCCTCCCTACAAGGGAGGAGGATGTCGTCTCATGGAAAGCTTGCTCCGATGGCCATGATCCCCAGCATCCGTGGTTGAAGTTTACGGGGTATCATGAAAGATGAGAAAATTGATCCGTGAACGGATCCAGTGATTTAAGGAAGGTTAGGAAGAACTGTGGAAGTGTGAGTATGATGAGAGGAGGGAACCATCAAATTACGCTGTGAAGTACTCACTAGCGTCAGTCCATATAGCCTGGTCGCTACCGTCAGAGTTTGGTGTGATGGTCAAAGCGTAGGTGGTATCAAAGGCTCCTGCAGCCCAAGCAGTGAAACCGACGATATAGTCAGAGTTGGATTTAACATAAGCCAATTCGCTTTTGAGACTGTAAAAATGAAGATGAGAAATGTCTACAAACCTTGGAAATTTCACTCACTAGCTCTCGCATGATGCAGTACTTCCTCCACCAGTCTCACTGAGGAACGCCTGCCTGCTGTTGGTTTTCAGCCAGGCAACTAGAGTAGTAAGGACGTCGACGTTATCCTGTCGTGTGCAAAAGAAACAAATTAGTACAGGCGCACAACGTTGTTGTAAATTCAACGCACAGTCACGCATTCCGTGCTCGTACCGCTGCCGTCTGAGTCGAGGTACTTGTGGACTGTTGTACACTGTGCTAAGTACCAGACGGACCGCATTGTTGAGCCAAGGATCACATACCGTCAAAGAGAAGTTTGTCACTTCCACCGGAGGGGTCAGTTACATCCAAGAGGTACGGTCCAGCCTCTGTCGGCAGGGTTCCGGCAGAAGAATACGACGAGCCAGGAAGGAGCATATATTGGGAGGTTGCGCCCACTTGACGAATGGCTGTGACGGCAGCCTGCACAGAATCGGCCCAGTCAGAAAGGGACGAGACTGCGAAAGGGTATCAAAACGTGTAGGGCCAATAACATTCAATAGAAGACCTACGATCGTGCGGCTCGTTCATGAGACCAAACTACAACACAAATATGTTAGAATGAAAAGGGATTAGTTTCGGAGGATTACGCACGATAATGCGGTCATTACTTGCGTATTTTGTTGCAAGCTGACTCCAGAGACTGGCAAACTCGTCGTTGGTAGGCCCTCCTTGACCGACAACGGCGCCATTCCAACGCGCGTAGTTGTGCTAAAATGGACTGTGAATTTGAATTCTCGCGATATGTAATATATATCAATACCCACAAGGTCAAGAATAACATAAACATCATCCCCGGAAGCAAGAGCTGCTTGTACAGTCGCATCATATTCCGCAAAGAAGGTACTGTCGATGGTTCCGCCAACAGTAGGAGTCATCAATTGCCAGGCTATACAGTTATCAGACGTTGAACTTCGCAAAATTGCACCGAACATACCAAATGCTATGAAGATTTACAGCGTTTGATAATCAGTTTGAGGTACCAGTAATTACAGAAAGCGCAATTACTGAGTACTCACGAATACGGAAGACATTAGCACCCTGATTAGCAAAATGGGCATACTGAGATGATGGTGGGGTTACACCGGTCCCACTAAATGATCCATCCGTATACTAGAAACAGAAAGCAACGTTATGATTTAGTGAATTGGGCACTGAGACCATGCTTACCACAGAAAAATCATATCCTGCAGTGTTCACTCCACCACGGAATCCGAGTGAGCTTGAGGAGGCGGAGGATGTTGCAGAAGAAGACGCAGCTGTCACACTACTGGAAGTAGTGGTAGATTTTACAGACGAAGATGCCGTGGCGGAACTTGTAGTAGTAGCTTTCACAGATGAAGATGTTGCGACGGAGCTAAGAGCAGTAGTAGATTTTACTGACGAGGATGCTGTGACAGAACTAGATAAAGTGGTAGAAGACACTGCTGCAACAACGGAAGTCAGGCTTGAGGTGGATGCTGATGAGGCCAAGGTCGAGCTCGAGCTCGCAGTGACTGGCAAACATTGAGAATAATCTGAAAGAAGTTCGAGTATGGTAGGAGATTCACAACATATATAGAGGCTTACAGTCATTCTGATACACGCAACTAGCCCCGGAGACGCAGGTGGTTGAGGTAGCTATCGAAAAGCGTCACTATATATAATTTAGGATACAAACTGAAATGAAACTCACTCCAGTCTTGTCCTCCACCTAGTTAATTGTCAGCTTAGTGAATCGATTTCCAAGGCCATCATACATACATTGAGCATACAGTGGGAGTGCAGTGGTTGTCGAAGAGGCCGTGGTTGCGACAGCGACGATGGTAGATATTCCAGTAGAAACTGCGGAAGTGACCGAAGTAGAAGCGACTTGCGAGCTACTAGCCTGGAGACATTGGTAGTAGTCTTCAAGCAGATTTATGTTCACGAACAGCGATAATTTTCAGAGAAAATACTGACAATCATTTTGATAGACGCAAGAGCTCCCCGACGCGCAGAGGGTGCTTCCGGCTAAAGATGTGAGCGGAAATCAATGAAACGAGAGGGAAAAAGCACTGAGAGGAACGTACTATACTCCAAGCCGCCGCCTTGCAACGCGTATGGGAATTTAGTACAAGTTTCGGGAGAGCGGATATTGCGACATACATTGACCATACAACTAGCATGAAAGAGTAAGCCAACAGATTCAAAGAAATATAAGACAGAGGACTGACCTGCACTTGTGCTTCAACAAGAGCGAGACCGCTGGTCACAAATGCAATCGAAATCGATTTCATGGTGAATCCAACAGGACTTTTAAGGAATGTAGGGATGAAAGAGAGTGAGGCCAAAGAGGCTATCCGCAGAACAGAAAGAAAAGAAAGAGAGAAACTTTGTTTTTTTCTGAATCATCACGTCGGCTTTATAGCAGATGGGTACGGGCTGATACGGGTCTGGAATTTTGTCAATTCCAGATTGATTCCAAGGATGTTCCTGGGATGTTCCTTGTTGTCGTTGTGGTTGCTAATGAAATAATTAAAGGCACCGAAACCTGACCGAAACTTAGCACCTGATAATCCCCCCTGACAGTATATATACGACGGATTGATCGGATCACCTTTGGTATATATACGTAGCAATAACAGCAGTTTCTCATCCTTGAATAAATCTAATAAATCTTCAGTAACTTATACTGACTGTTATATTGACGTGAATCTCTGAGCACACCGGGCACTACTCCCGGCGCATCCCGCCACCTTTTCCACTCTTATGTCAGCATATGGCCGGTCACTATATTGATCTCCCGCTCACTGTCCCGACTCCCCGTACATTATAGAAAAATGTCAAAGTTGCACATTTTCTATGAAGAACTTCGTACTATTATGAACAAAGCAATACAGTACGTGCTAATGAATTAGTTATCTAGTTCATCAATGTCCTCATCCTCATATCCTGACGCTTGGTCGTCATCACTCCTGTCATTGTCCTCATCCTCCCCTGTGCTCTTAGCATTGCCATCCTCGTCACTTGCCTCCTGCTCTGTATCCATCCTTCTGTTCGTCGATTGGCTTGCCCGTTGTCGTTTTGCTGCTGGCTCATCAGCATTATTTGGGGATCGACGTTTTGTTGCAGTCTTCTCATGGGTCCCTCCCCTGTCGCTCCGAGTTTTACGAGGAATTTCGACCTGTACCCCAGCTGCTTTATCATTCTCTAGCTGCGCCATGAACTTTTTATACTCCCGTTTATCCATGGTACTCCAATATGCCGAGCCAGATCTCCAGGCATCATATACAGCATCGAGCTTTGCTGGGTCAGTAATATCCCGCGGGGACATCAAGTCGACATCTTCTGGCCATCCCACAATCTTGACTTTGTACTTGGCAGAGATTTTGGTTCGGAAGTTGGGGTAGTTCATGCGAATATTGTCCACTCCGGTAATCCGTGCTAGAACATGAATATCAGGAAGCTACAGTGGAGATTAATTAAGGAAAACTAACCAAGCGATTCCAAAATGGTTTTTCCCGTTGCTTTTGCCTTTTCACTGTGGAGAAGCTTTCGGTTTCCCACTGTTCCCAATAAATCGATCAATAAAGTTTGTACTGATAACGGAAAACAAACCTTTATTATAAGTAGTAACAAATGCTTCGAAAAGGCAGGCCATCTCCCAAGGATCCTTCTTGAAGTACTGCTGAAAGAATTCATGTACAGGACCCCCACCAATAACAGTGGGCTTGATGGAACTTTCGAAAGTTCCCCGTACAAAGAACCCAAAACCCGCCACATCTGTTGCCTCTCGGAGCTCCTGGAACTGATCATACAGGTCACAACACGTTTGCCAAATAACGCGGTCTGGATGGCTTACATCGGAATTAAAACTTTGTAATAGCCTGGTCACCCTCATCGCACCAACTTTATTTGAGGCCCGGGCTACATCTTTCTTTGCCTGTTGATGCTCTTCTAATTCGTCCATCAATATCTTCATCTTCTCCGGATTAGTCTTTGCATCTTGGAGGTCATCATCAACTTCTGCAGCACGTCGAATTTCACTGATCTTTGCTTTGTGTCGTCTACCTAAATTGTTTGTGAGCGAATATACATATCTTCCTTGGAAAGACCATACCTTCGTTGAGCTCCTTAGATTTTGCATGTAAGATAGCATCCTGGGCGCTGTTCACTCGCTTCTTCCGATGATGCTTTGAGGTTCCCGCAAGTTTCTTGACCCTGTTGAAAGACACACCATGTGCATCAGCTATCTCCCCAATCCTTTCCTCCTGTTCAGCATGGAAACGAGAAATAGACTCATTCAAAAGCTTGCTCTTCAACATAGAAGTCGCCCTTGCAAGGGATTTTTCAGAGGCCCTCAAGTTCGATGTCGAAGTATCCCGCAGCTGAGATCTTTGAGAAGGACCCGGTGAGGGAATTGGGGAAAGACTTTGTGGAGGGGGTGTAGGAAGACTTGGCGAGAGAATTGGGGGAACACCTGGCGGAGGTATTAAAGGAAGACCTGGTGGAGGTATTGGGGAAACACCTGGCAAAGGTATTGGGGGGAGACCTGGCGAAGGTATCGGGGGAAGACCTGGCGAAGGTATTGGGGGAAGACCTGGCGGAGGTATTGGGGGAAGACCTGGCGGAGGTATTGGGGGAAGACCTGGCGAAGGTATCGGGGGAAGACCTGGTGGAGGTATTGGGGGAAGACCTGGCGAAGGTATCCGAGGACGACCTGGTGGACCTGGTGAAGGTATCAGAGGACGGCCCAGATGAGGTCTTGCTGAAAAGCCCAGAGCTGGCAATAAGTTTGGTAGGGCTCGTTGTGCAACGGGGCGGGACAATGTTGAGTCTACTTCACCATTGAGGATAGATACAACTCGATGGTTATGGGCTGGGCCATAAGTTCGTCCAGAATTTTGAGTAGGAGGAGGTGTAGGTGGATGAGGTGATGGGATGGGAACCGGAGAGTAGAGTCTCGATGCATCTATATTGGTACAAACCACGGGTTGCTGCCATTTGAGAGGACCAAGCTGAGGTTCTGAAGAAACCCTCCGTTCATGGAGCGCTAAAGACTCGCGGTCGTTCAATTGACCGGAATGAAAGCCTTCGGTGGTATACCGGCCATTATCTGCTGACTGATATTTTCCAAAAAGACCAGGCAGCGGTCGGTGGTTAAAGATACCTGCTCTTGGAGGAAGAGAAGCGGGGAACTCCTTGTGCAAGGTTGGAAAATCAGGTGTGAGTGACCGGTTTGAGTTCGTGTGTATATTAGCCAGAGATGGGGGTACAGAATATGCAATATCTGTTCCTTGAGAAGTCGGAGGGTAGTGGCCATAAAAGTTATTATTTCCTGAATTTTGGAGCGGGTTGTTACTGTGATACTGTGGATACAGGAAGGGAGGAGGATGCAGTGAGGGAAGTCGATGCTGAAAGCTGTGATTTGACATAGTAACTCGTTAACTTTGCACGTAGCTCAGACTTCGTCAAAGTTGTATTTCGAAACCAGTCAACAATGGGTTGAGGGCTGGTCAATAAGCACGTGCACTCATAGGAATCGATTTCAGATCCTGGTTCATTCTCTCCCATCAATTCTATCCCCACTCTCTTTCATCCTGCATATCGATTTCATCAACATCGCAAAGAACGTGGATAAATCTACTCAATGTCTGGTAAGGCTTATATGAAAGTTGCTACCCATCAATATTGAACTTTTAGGACAGCACCAACAACACCATCTCGTTCCACTTCTTCTAAAAGACCTTCTGGTGCTCCACGTTCTGTTCACAGAGACCGTGAAATTCTGGTAGCATTGTTGGAGAAGGATATCCAGGGTGCATTCTTTATACGCCTCGAAATACTGAACTAGCTAACTAGGTATAGAGGTCGGTATGCGGAATAAGGTCTTGCGGGAGGCTGAAGTTGTGGTTCAAGCTGCCAGTGCCCAGCTCGGAGAGCAGCTCAATAATGTGGAACAGAACATCGGTGCATTATCTATTCATCATTTCAACCAATTTACTGAGGTTTGTCAATTCTTTAGAAGAGCTCCGAAAGCTTACCAGCTTGCCATCAACCCCAACCCGTTCCCAAAGGGTTCACCACGTTGTTTCACTGGCAACCTCAACCTCCCGCAGCAGTGATCATCACCCCCCTCCTCCCTCCCCCACTAGCCATCAACCTCGCAAGTCTAGTACTCCATTAACCCCGACCGGTCCCCAGAAGGTCCGACACTTGACTTCACTGTCGATTTCCCACCGTGATCATCGCCCCCCTCTTCCTACCTCCACCAGCCACCAGCCTCACCAGTCTAGTCCACCGTCTACCCAGACCTATTCCAAGAAGGTCCCAGAAATCGCCCACAGCAGTCCCCACTCCCCTACTCCTGTCTCAAATAGCCACAGGTATCGTCAGTCTGTACCTCAAGACTCTGGTCCCTCTATTCCTTCCAACCTTGTATGGATTTCCTCGGATGAAGAGGCGGGCTATCCTGAGGATTCGGAGGATTCGGAGAATTCGGAGGATCTGGGTGATGACCGCTGGGTGCCTATGAGTGCCATGGAGGTTAGTAGCGATGAGGACGAGCCTTTACCCGGCCCAGGGGGTGTTGGTGTGGCGGAAATCAAAGCACGAAGGGCACAGAAATTTAGTAAAGCAGGTGAAAAAACCTATGTGGTATACTATGGTCGGAATGGCACCAGTGGGCTTTACTTCGAATGGCGCGGGTCCCATGGGGCAACTGGTGCTCTCGAACTGACCGGTGACTTCGCTGATGCAGTCCACAGGTCATTTAATGACCGCAAGCTCGCAGCAAAAGCATACAAAGAATGTAAACGGACCGGGGTCCTTGACATCTTCAAGACACCGTCGTCGCCCAAGGAGAACCTCATCCTCATCAAAGGAGAGAATCCAGGGGTATATAATCGATAGTACGTTCTATTTCTTCTGTACATCACCGACACTCAAGGATACTTTTAGTACCCTTATGAAACAAGGGCTTCGTTGGCATGGTGGGAAGGTCATTGTTCATATTGGAACTGCCTACGACGCCCAGCAGATGTTTCTTGCGTTGGAAAGGGAGGGTAAGACGATGAAGCTTCCAAAGGAAAAATCATGGGGTCTAAACTAGATTATGATACATGTATGGTTGCAATCGTACCTGCTATACATTTACCATTGTACCTCAATCCAATTCGTTCTCCCCCATTTCCCAGTTGGCAGTCATAAAATTCAATAGACCATTTAAAGGTAAATACGGGGATTGGTGGAGACACCAGCTTCCGTTCCGACACGGTAGGTATTACGACGGTAAGGATACCATAGATCAGCATCTGGGTGTCCGATCTTTTCAACAAACTCTGAGATCCGCTTGTCCTGTGCTTTCCGAAGGATGGTTTTCCTATTTCTATAAAGTATTGAATTGAGGAGAGCAATATACCAGATAACCACATACCTGAGATACGAAGCAGCAGCAGCTTCCTTTCGGGTGTTCTTACTCTCTGCTTTTTCCTCCTCCGTCATCCCAGCTCTTTTCTGTGCCATCCGAGTTTGGTTTCTTGCCCTTCCTGCTTCACCCTGCCTGACGTTCTAATTAATAAAGGTTATAAAAGAAATTAGGTGAATGACCTCTTACCTTCGTCGATACCTGCTGGACGCCATAGTCCTCCCAATCCTCCGGCATTCTTTTTTAATGGCTCTCTGTTTTTCAGTTTGCTTTGATACTGGAAGCCGTAGACGTGTTGGTGGCGATTCAGCATGAAGAGGCTTTTGTTTGACGGAGACCATGACACACGGAGTTGGTAGAACAATGTATAGGAGCGCAGTAAATCGACTGTGGGAAACTCTTCATCGAAGACTTTTACTGTAAGTCCGATTCACGATATTGTGTCAATTGTGCAAGATATTCTTCATTAGCCAATCTCAAAATATACGAGATAGATCTTGAGACATATCAGCTTGGATTAAAGACACCTTCCTATCTTTTAAATTTATTGTGTTCAAAAAAGTGCAAAAAACGATATGGGTATGTACAGGGATTTTCGCACATGTAGATATATCGTAACTTCATTCAGGATATATTTTTTCTACCAAGCAATTTTACCCCCCTAGCCTCAATAGCTCAGATACGTATATTAGAGCATGCCATGCACTCTGTGGAAATTTTAATAGAATTATTTATGCAAGATCATCCCTGTAAATTGTTCTCGAAGCTCAGATCTGGATTTTATGTGTGCATCACCACCTATCGGATCCTCACACTTCTTCACCTATATAACAAAAAAATGCATTCAAGCTACTATACTATATACTAATACTACAGTTCATCACTTCTTAGCATATCAAGACCAAACTTCCACAAATCTGTTCGATATTGAGCCCAATTCTTCTTCTGCAAGCCAGAAGCTCGAGTGAGAAATTCGTTGTCGTTCATAAACCCATTAAAATACCAGCGTAGGATCCCTGCAGCAGTAAAGAATGTAATTGAATGTCTTCGTTCCTCCGGTCCAATTGGAATATTGGCATGGGTGACTGAAGCAGAGGGCACCAGTATCCCCGCACCGGGTGGAAACTCCACAACAATCCCAAGGTTCCACATAATAAGTTGACCCCCGGCTTTATAGTTGAATCGTCCACCGTTCCAGATGCCGCAGCATAAAAAGAAAGCGTTCATGAAGTCAAGATGTGGGTCGGTTGAAGCCCTGGAGAAATTCAACTGCGAAGCAGCATAGCAACAGCGCTTGAAAGGACGCTTCAGATGAAGCCCCCCCATACCCAACAGGATCTCCATTAGATTGGTGAGAAGGCGGTGTATTTTTGGAAAGTATACTTCAACACCATCTATACCAATTGAACTGTGAGTAAGATCCACCAGCAAGATGAGGATGTTAGACTGACGATCTATAAACCTCGCTATGCGATTCACCTCCGGAGCATCCATCAGCGCCTGAAGAATCGGAGCGTTTCGTTTGGAGGCTGCAAAGTTCATAGGGTGGAGCTGCCCTTGGCCATGGCTGCACCCAATAGAAAGCGAGTCATAAACACCGCGACGGGGGGGGTGATCGAGTTTGGGGAAGTGGAGCTCCTGTTGGGCTTTTAGAAGCAGCTGGTCAACAACCTGCATGTTTGCAAGCCATTCACTCCGTTCGCCAACATAGCCAAGGAGCGCCGCCCAATGAAGACCATCCTCCGACCGGTACACACGTGATAGACTATGGGAGGTTGGGTACCGATGGTAGCTTTGAACAAAATAAAACACACCTGCCATCCCACTCAATATACTTGAGCCCAGACAGAGCAAGGACGTCCTGAACTGAATAAACCTTGGGGTAAGGCACAGCTGCACGGGAGCCCGTCCATGCCGTTGCATCCGGACCAGCAAAGCTACATTCAACAGCTGCAGCCTTAGTTTCAGCTGCCTTGCGAAGGGCCACTGACTTCAGGTTGGTTTGGAGGCTTTTCTGAACCTCAGCGCGTGCTTTGGCGCGTTTATCGCGCGCCCTATGGCGATCCTTCAACTTTTTTCGCTCAGCAGCACTTAGAACTGGCTCGACCGTATAACGGGCGCGTTTACACGGAGGGCGCAAATCGACCGGCTTCAAAAGGTCCTCAAGGGGTTGGAGAACGACGGAGACAGGTGCGGAGAAGGATTGCATCAAACCATCGGTTTCAAGTTGTTCAAAATCCTCCACAACCCCACCTTTCCAAGCAGCCTCCGATACAGCACACCCATTACTTAGAAGGGATTCACTGTTAACCTTGAGAAGGGTTAAGACTTCACCTCGAAGAATATGCGGGTTAAATTCTCGTTTACTCCTTGTGAGCCTCAAGCCTAGGAACGGTTATAAGAGCGGTATATTGGTATATTGCATAGACTGGGTAAAAAAAGCGTTTGCGGCGTCCCCAAGGTCGGGGTCGCATACCAACGCGTATGGAGACCACCCTCGGCGTCCCCAAAGTCGGGGTCACCTAACGGTGGTCTCAGTATGTAGGCCGATAGGGGCGACGCTCACCTTCTCCCAGAATTAAAGCCGGGTCGAGCTCTGCAAGCAGGCGCTTCTTCACCATCGACTTAGAAAAGAAAGAAGAAATAACAGACGAGCGACTTAAAGTTATATAAGAAAACACGTCACGTGTGCGTATGTCTCTGTTTGTCTGAACCACCTCCACCCATGAAGCCCTCGAAACGCCTCAAAGTTAGTAGGACCGTTGTTATGTCCACCTCAAGTCTCAGCGGAAATGGCCGATCCCGCGCCCAATTGAAGATCCATCGACCCAGCGACCTCAGGCGCATCAAGGAACAGAGGGCGACGGAGGAAGTGCGTGTCCTCAACGTTCAGCGGGTTGACGAGAATGACTATGAACTCTCCGTGGACATGCCGACGGTTCTAAGCCATGCTGGTGGTGAGGTTATGGTGGATTCTGAGGAGGGATTGGGGGATGATGATTGGGAGGAATGCGGGGACATCTACCAAGAGCTGTTAGACGGTTGCAGACGGATGTAAGTGCAACCGTTTCTCGTGTGCACTGCTAATTGACCCGCTGGTGTGATAGCTACCGTGTGGATGGTCGTAAACGCTGCGACCGAACGGAACGCGCCCACTACCACTGGACGCCCCAATTCGACGGTATGGTCGATGCATTTATGGCTTGGTGTCTCAACGAAGAGCGGGGTCATTGTATACCTGAACCCGACGGTGTTCCCTCCATCTCTGTGACAGTAGTTGACGTCTTCGGTAAGCTTATTCCCCCTACAATCAGTTACTAATGCTGACAGACCCTCGTAGGTACCTCAAAAAGACTCGTACCCCTCACCGGTGACCAGTATCAGTCGGAAAGCATGGTCCGCGCTGGTGTTTTTCCATCCTCACCGCTTAGACATCACCACGGCTTCACAACCCGCACCCTCCATCTCTTCCATGATCTATTTTGTCGCTGCCCACGCCTCTCCATCCAGCCCTTCATCAAAACTCTCTGCGATGTTCAGGGCTTTCCATTCAGACCCTACCTCATGCACCAGTTTTCCTCAGCCTACGATGCTTATCTTGAGGTAAAGGCTCGAGTCCGGAAGCTGGTTGCGCAGGCGCTTGGTAGGGATTCACCCGACTGGCGAATTATGCACACCTGCCCATGTTGCCAGTACGAGCTCGAGGAGGATTCTGCACTGGATATTCGGATGATGGTAGCTATGGATGGGAATGACTCTTTGAAACGGGTCGAACGTCGCAGGGAAGCCGCCGACGACTCCTCTGCGGAGGTCGCGGACTCGGGTGTAATTGAGAGACTGGATCCTCGGCAGGCGGGTGGGGACTATTTTCTTTCGCGTGCGGCTGTCGATGAATGGGCGGAAGAAAACTGGAAGACCGTGACGCCGTGGATCCCTGGGAATAGCTTTCGGGAATGGGTTTGGAGGACTGGGAGGTGTGAGGAGAAGTGGCATAACGCATTGGACAAGAACACCGGGAAGTCATGGGCGAAGTTCGATGAGAATGGGATATTCTTGCTAATTTGCCGGCACGGCCTGGTTTTGTCATTGGCAGACATGGTGAAGTCGGGCGAGAGGTATGTCCCCCATCCTCCAATACATTTCGTGTACTGACCCTTCAACCCTAAGAGCGAAGTACTCCTTAGCCACCATGCACCTGTCATGCCTTGCTTCTCCGGACCTTTCCCTTTCCTTTCCAGAGCTCCGGTTCATCACTTATACATGTTTCCGATATTCTATGCACCATCCTTACAATCTTTACTGTACATATTACCTGTCACTCCAGTAGCCACATGACATATGTACCTGACAGCCTCATGTACAGTATATAGGTTGGGGACTCCCCTCGGAGCTCCCCAGCGTGTTATTGTCAAATCTTACCTGGAAACTCTTCCTACCTGGCTTGGTCCCTTTAGTACAGTCTACTAGTACTTGCTAACAGGGCCTGACACGTCTCAACAGTCATATATTTCCTCATTATCTGTTTCCTTTATCTCTGTCTCACCTCAACTCTGTTTCTCCTCTCTGTTTCCTATCTCTGGCCTCTTTCTGTCAATCCTCGTATTGTCTACGCCTCTACTTCGACTCACCATCTACGTCGAGGCTCTACAATTCGTCCTTCATCCTTTGGAACCTCCCATTAGGTTCCCAATTCCGCTTCATTGCTCCCTAAGCTCCCCACAGCTTCCCACTCGTATCGGCTACACCTCCCCTCCACATTGAAGCGGTGGTTACGTGTTACGTTCTACACCTCCAGGACCCTCTATTAGGTCTACCCAAGCTCCACAACTACCCCTGGTTAGGCTCCCCTCACCAGTATCGGCACTATCCCATACCTCCTCGTACGGCCTAGGCGGCTACTGCGTTCGCTTAGGCCCAGTCTGGGTAAGACCAGAGCAGGCCTTCTGTGCCGGGGCCTCACATAAAATGTAAGACCTGGGTCAAAATAGGTCTTAGGGTAGGTTTTGGTATGTGGAGGTTTATGTTGTAGCGTGCTAGGAGCAGGCTGGAGCTCGAAGGGAGCTACGAGAACCGCGACCGAGGACGGGAATGACCTAGTAGTGGTTGGAACGACGAGATGGTGACCCTTGAGGGGTTCCTAGGAGGTCCAGGGAGGTCCCTAATGCGTAGGGAGGTTCGGGACGAGTGCGGGACCGTAAGATATTGCGTAGTAGGAGTTGTACTCGCTAGAACGTCAATATAGAGTCGAGTAGGTAGTTTATGCAACGGGGTCTCGAGGGTGTAAGCTCCCGAGAAGGGATATGCCAGGGAGGGTAGGTCCCTGGGGCTAGGTTGGAGGATGGTCGTCCTCGAGTGTGGGAGGTGGTAACGGAGAAGCAGTACGTAGTTCGACGTGAGGGGTAGCTTCGACGTTACCTAGATCGAGGTCCCGAAGCTTACGAAGTAGCTAGGGAGCTCTGGGAGGTTTGGGGAAGAGTAGCTCACCAAGCGGGT